GAGGGCGGGCGCCGCAGCCGAGCGCAGCCCTCGGCTGGCTGTGGGAATCGGGCTTGTGTTGTCAGAAACCCTGTGAATTCGGCCGAGTTGGGAAGGACTTGTAATGCAGAATAAACATGATATTTATTGATGCTGCGTGCACAGTTGCCTTTAGTGACTGTGATGTGGCAGCCAAAGCCAGTCTGATTTTAGGTGGCAGTTAATGAGTTGTTTGCACTGAGGCTTTGGCTCAGCTAATCAGTACCTTGGATTGGAAGATCTGGTCAGTGACTTGCAGGAAAAGCTGCTGCTTCTGACAGTGCTGTTGTGTGAATTTTTGAGTCACACACAGCAAGTATTTGGCAATTCTGTCTTCAGGAGAAGCCCTGGGCTGCAGCATAGTTCCTAGTGATCTAGCATAAGGGAATTGGCTGAAGTTTTGGAGTCTTGTATGTTACAACCCTTTAATACCTTTTCTAAAAAGGCTCGAAGTAAAAAGTTTTGTGATATTCTGAAGAGATGCTGGTTTTGGCAGGGTAGCTCAGCTTCTTAGGCTGCCTGTCCTGAAGGCTGGACTTGTGGTGACCAGCTCACTTATTGCCCTAAAAACACCTAGATTTGTAGAAGCAGGAAAGAGCATGGTAAATATCCACTTTGCTAATGTGGATTATGTGCCTGAGTGTTGGCAATTAGTATTTGTTTATGCAGTTAGAGATGGGAGATGCAGTTTAAGGTGAACTGAGTGCATTTTGTGACTCCATTTGCTTGAGTCAGGGTGCCCAATGGCATTTATGGAAATAGTCATCGGGTCTTAGCAGGCCCTAATATGAAATTTGGCTACTTTGTGTGTAAGTTCATTCTCTAGACAGCTTTGTTTCTTCTAGAAAGGTTTCCCTCCGTGTGTCAAGCTATTATCAGTGTTATAGCTGGGGAAAAAAAGTAGCACGCCGTAAAAAAACCAAAACAAAACCCAAAACAAATTTCACAAGAGGCAAGGCAGTAGAGCACTGCAATGATTTTGGCATGACAATGCTCAGTGCTGAAAAGCTTGCCTGAGAGGAATTCAGTGGACAGAGTATGCCTGTTTGCTGCAGCCCCTGTACACTTGGGTTACAGGCCCACCTACTCCCTCTTAGTGTTTGTGGGTGTGATGTGTGGTGTGAACGATCATGAGATGCAATTGAGTTTCAGAGCTTTGTCACATCCTCCAGGGACTCAAAGGCATGACTGGAAATAGAAGTGAAGAATAGGAAACCTGTGAAGCAATGACTGGAATTGTGTATTATTTCAGACTGAAATGCTGAAATGTGCATTGTTCATATGAATATCTCAGTTCCGCTCCTCGGGATTTCCAAAAGCAAAATCCTACACAAGGGACATGGCAAGTCTCATGCCTTCAGGCTCCTTCCATAAAGTGGGTCTTGTAGCCCGTAGGACCTCCAAAAAATGTGTTTGGAACAGCATGAATTAGGAGCAGGCAGACTTTTCAGAGGTGGTCTAGCAAAGCCTTCAGCCGTACTGAAAAAGATAGGCAAAACTCGGCACAGAGTTTGAAGCACTGCAGGCATGATGCTGGCGAGTCATGAATCCTGGGTCAAACTAATCCCTGAGAGATTTACTCTGTCAGCTGCCTGTCAAAGTGAACTCTAGAGCTTAGCATTGCATATCTTGTAGCTGCTGGGTTGTTGGCTCGGGTGCCTTTGAAAGTGTGTGCCATCAGTTTGCTATCCCCCTGTGGCCTCCTGCTTGAGTTGTTTTGTGGCTGCTCAGACATCAGTAGGTCTCTTCTACCCCATGGGTGATCAATGTATGACTGCAGGAGCATCAGGAGCTGAGTCTGAGCAGGATCCCCAGGGGGGTGGCAGAACAGCTTTGGTGTTACTGAAGGTCTCTTGTGGAGACAACTGTGAACACTCTGATGTTCTCCCAGCCTGTTCCCTGAAGTGGATCTTCTGTGGAGCTCAGCAGGACTTGCTCCAAGCAGAGCCATCTCTTTCCACTTGGCAGGCTTAGAGGCTTGGTTGGGAGGGCAGCAATGAGCCCACAGGTTTTCTGCAGACTTTCCTGTTTTCAGAGCTGTCAGGGACTTAAGGTTTGTCCTGTTTCCTAGTGCTTGGTAGCAGCAGCTTTTAGATAATCGTGGACTCCTTCACTAGAAGTTCTGTTTAGCTTTCAAGTAATCTCAGTCAGCCATTTCTACAGAGATTAAGGATCCTGCATACTTGCATGGGAATTTTTCAAAAACTGGTGGTAGTTGCTCTTAGGAGCTCTTCCTTGATGCTTCAGTTTCTTCCGTCTGTAACAAGATATCACAAGTCTTGTGTGTTTTTCTTGTCCTCATGCTCTTTGCTATGGAGGGGACCCATCAGCTGCCCTCTAACAAGGAGTATCTGCCTTACAAATCGCAGAGTTCCTGTGTCACTTGCTACTTAATTCGTGTACCTCCCCCTCTCTGTTCCCACCCAGCCAGGGAGGTGATGTTGCTCTGTCTCTCAGCAAGATACTAAAACAGTTGAACTTCCAAAACCACAGAGGACCTACCTACAGCAATGCGGTTAAAAATTAGTGCAGAGTGAAACTTGTGGTCATATCCATTTATCAAAGCCTGAAATTATGCCTGTCTGTGCTAATTTAATTTATTTAATTTTTAGGACACCTCTGCATCTCGCTTGTGCAAACGGCCATGTGGATGTAGTTACACATCTAGTAGAAAACCAGTGTAAGCTAAATCTTTTTGACAATGATAACAAATCGCCACTGATGAAGGTATGTGGACTGTATTATGTTCTTGTAAGTGAGGCTTATTGATTATGCCCTAAATTATGTATTTTGCAGGATTCTTTATTTAGACCTGTGTAGAAAAATGCATATTGTGATTGATGTGGAAGGGCATATATTAGCTAATCTTTGAAGGTGCTCTTATTTCCCAGTATTGGGAAGCTGGGAGAATTGTAACAGAGTGAAAGGTAAGTGTTGGAAGTTTTTCCTTTTTTGTGTTTTGTTCCCAGGCAGTACAGTGCCAGCAAGAAAAATGTGTGGCTATTCTACTAGAGCATGGTGCTGACCCAAATCTGGCAGATGCTGACGGCAACACTGCCCTTCACCTGGCTGTCCTATCTCCTAATACCACTGTAGCAGGGCTGTTACTTGAGCATAATGCCAATATTAATGCTCAAAATAAGGTAAGGTTTTTTTATTTGTTGAAGAAGTTCTTTCAAAAAGTTGCATTCGTATTTTTCTTGAAGATTTTTTTTACTTTTATTTTTAATGGTATCTGCCCTTTTAGGAGGGATATACCCCACTTATTCTTGCTGTCTCTGAACATCATGAAGAGATAATGGAATTTCTTCTTAAAAAAGGAGCTAATGTGCATGCTCGAGATCGGAGTGAAAGGTGAGGGGTTTTCAAAACTCTACATGGGTCTCTTTAGTGTTCTTTAGGTTGGATTGATGAGAGGCATAGGAATGAGCTCTGAAAAAAACCCAGGTAACCACAGAGAAGCTTTTATTTCTGCGTGACTCGTGGAAGTGGGTCATACCTCAGTGGCTTGCTGTCATTCCTCGGTGGATGTTTTCTGCAAGATGGTGTTGTCTGTGATGGCCTTTCTGGCAGGAAACCTACCATTAGCTAAGCAGCATTGCCTCAATTTGAAAAGCCATCTCTTGCATAGCAGCAGAGTTTGTATGTAATTGTTGTCTATGTGGAAGCTTTGTTTGAAGATCAAACATTTGTTTTGACTTCTTCTCCCATTTTATTGTTTCTCATAATACCTAATGAAAAATGCTTTATCTTTTATTAATTTTAAAGTAATGGGGAGAATACTTTTTTGAGGGCAAACAGGGATAAAAATAATTACACTTTCTGTGTAAAACGATCTACTTCATATCATATTTTTGATGTTTCAGAACCCCACTTATGACTGCTGCTTCTGGGGGAGAGGTTAATTTGATAAAAGTTCTTCTTCAGTATGGTGCTGATCTTTCCCACAAAGACACTAATGGATGGACAGCTGAGGATTATGCTGTTATTCATGGATATTCTAGGTAAATTTTAAACTTTGTTGTTAGAGTAAATTGTCAGTTATCAGTGTGGCTTTTGATCATTTTTGATGAGTGCCCAGGTTTAATGGTGTATTGAGACCTGTATTGAAGCTGTGTTCAGTGGTGTCTTCATAGAATCATTTAGGTTGGAAAAGGCCTCTAAGATGATAATCAAGTGAAGACATCAACCTAACACTGCCAAGCCCATCATTAAATCATGTCCCTAAGTACCACATTTACAACATCTTTTAAACACCTGCAAGGCTGGTGACTCAACAGCTTCCCTGGGCAGTCTGTTCCAATGCCTGACAACCCTTTCATTGAAGTAATTTTTCCTAATACCCAATCTAAACTTACCTTGGCCCAACTTGAGGCCATTTCCTCTTTGTCTTCTGGTATGTATCATTCAAGTGTCTCATGTTAGTTTGGAAGTTGAGGAAAATTTCTACACAGAGTTCTTTGTTTAGTTTCAAGTTTTGTTGCTAAGCCCACGTCTGCCCAATGTATCCTACGGTTATCCAGAGGTGGAACTTGGCAGATTGAAATACATGTAAGCCCTCTCCCCCTCCCAGCACTGTTGTCCTTACTGGCTTCCACTACAATGACCGAGAACTACCAACCTGTTGTTTCAGAGGAGATACGATATCCCTTTTGTTAAAATCTTGAGCAGTTTTACTCCTCTTATGCATAGCTTTGTGCCTGTTGTTGTTTCTTCTCTAGGGCGGTTAAGAGTGCTTAAAAGCTAAGCTGAAATACATGTACCAAGAAGGAGTTAATAACTTTGTAGGTTTGAATATGCATCTATAGAGTGAACATGACTGTAGTACTGATGTATGTTACTGTCGTGCAGTAAGTGCATATGAGTATATGAATCTATATGGCTATGAATATGTGTGGGATGGATAATAAGTGACTGTAAACTATTAAATGATATATGCAAGTATGTGGTTATTTTTTATCAAATATATTTCCTCTCTTTCTGTATGCAGTCTTAGTAAGCAACTGGGAGAATACGCGGACTGGGAAAGCACAGAAGGTTCTGCAGGCGGTGCACAGGGCATCACGGTACTTGGCACTCCGCAGCGGAGAGGGGCTGCTGCCTTTACACTGGGTGCACCTGCTGTGGACAGAGGAGGTAGGATCCTTAACTGTGGAGTGGCTCTCAAGGAAAATCACTAAGGCCTTTTTTGTAGGGGATTTGTATTGTTAATGCTTACTGTGTTCACCATTGATTTTAGTGGCAGCATCAGGTGGAGCAGCACAAGTTTTGTGAATGTGTTTATTTGTTGCTAGTTGGAGGTGCTTCTTCAGGCTGCGAAAACATTTGATTTGTGTGCTACATGTCCAGGTCTTAAGGTTGTTGCCTTCTGTCTGAACGATTGCCCATCTATATAAGTTTTCATTGAGAGAGGGGGAGAAAGGCAGCCATAAAGAAAATAGGCAGAAGTGTTTTTCCTTTTCAGATATGTACAGTTTAGCCATAGTTGGCCATTCAGATTGTGAAAATCCAATTACAAAAGCGGTAGGTTCATCCCTAATAGTTGTTCCTCTGTCTGTAGTTGGGAAGGAACAGAGGAATTAGGAGAAAGATACGTCTTGTTGATTTTCATGGAGTTTGTGTCTTTGTTTTAATATTAGTAGTTTCATCTGCACTAAGGTCCTTTTAGCAAGTCACCCTGTTTTTCAGCATCACTCACAATTGTTTCTGTGTAGGTGCTGTAGAGACATATTTAGGAAAAGTTATATTGTAAAAGTAAATTTCTTAGCAGTAGCATTGCAGTGTCTGTGTATGCTATATTGTCTTGGACATAGTTTGATTTACAATAAAAATAAAGCTTTTCAATAATTTTATGAATTTTTTTTTAAAAAACTGTTACTTGTGATTCAGAAAAACAATTAAATTGCCTTGTGATCAAAAAATCATTCAGTCGTTTAGTGAGTTTTAAAAATCTAGCCTACACTTATGAGCTCACAGAGCCCTAGAGGAATCTTAAAAAATTAATATCATAGTATAAATGAAGTAGTTTGTCTTGTACTTTACATCTCAGGCCTTACAAGTGAGAGGTTTTATTCTTTCTGAGTTTTTAAGGATGTTATATTGGAACTATGTGGCAAATGGGCAGAAGACAGTGTTCAAACACTGTTCATTACTCCTTTAAATACAGTTTGTAACTCCTTTTTTTTAAATATGTCAAGAAATACAAGCAAAATATGGGATATTTTTCCTCACTGACTTTTCCCAGATGCAGGATTTTAATTTAGAGTCAAACTTTGTTGCTTTGACTTAGGAACAGTTGCTTTGATCTAGTTGGAGATTTGTAAAGTTTCTTGGTAGATTGCAGGAAATAATTTTTCTTTTTGAAAGGTCTTGGTACAGGTAGTAGTGCACACAGTTACTGTCTCTGAGAGATTAGTAGCATATAGGGAACATTTATTGGCATTAATTTTGCAGTCTCTGGCTTGTACATGCAGAGCACAGGTAGATCCTGCATCAGGAGAGTGCTTCTGATATGCTGCAGTAACAGATTTAGAAGTCTTTGTCAGAGGAAAAGCTGGAATGATCTTGAGAGTACAGAGAAACCCATTTTGGAATTACTTTCTCTTCTTTTGCTCTTCTGTACTATTTTTCTGGGATCATTTTTCAAAGTACTCTCATCTAATGTGCAAGTCAGCATATTTAAGAAGTTAGCTTTTGCTTATTTGAATATTTACCCTCTTTTTGTCCAATTTGTGCACATTTTTATTAATCACGGACAGATTTGCAAATATCTCCAAATGAATGGCCCAGCCCTAGCATATGGAGTGACAGACTTTTTAGATTTGAAGTTGGAATTTCTTTGGCAAAAACTAATAATTGTGCAATTTTTCTGGAGGCAAGGAGTCAAATTTTTTTTTTTAGCTACTACACTGTATATTAGCATGTTGTTCCTTTTCCATTTCCCTGAGTCCCTGCAGAAACTGTTGGGTTTCCAGCAGAGAACTCTTAGAAAAGAAGTGCCTCAGTGTAATTTGTATCTCCCAAAGTCAGTAAAAATTGTCCTCTATCATCTCTTAAGAAAACTGAGAAATGGAGAAGGGATGAGAAACCATGTTAAGGTAATTTCTTAACTCTTTAAATGTATCTTTTTGATAAGAGTCCTTTTGCTACGTTCATTCCGTGTGGTAAAATCAGTATAAGCAGGACTCTGCTCTCAACATTGTGAAGAAATTTGGTGTCAGGTAGCTGCAATAACTGAACTACACCGTTCGTTGCCTTAAAATACAAAATTTTACTAAACAGGTAAAACAGGGTAAAACAGGTGCATAGTGATTTATATTCTAGCTTCTGTTCCACAGCACGCAGATGTGCACACATACAGACACATATGCATGATTCTCACACTAGTCAATTCACCCATTTTGGTCCTGGGGGAACACTGTGACCTCTTGTCACAGGTCTGTGTTGTGGCTGGTGACATAGACTCTCTATGTGAATGGTTCAGCATGGTCAGATCAATGTAAGCAGGACTCCTATCTTCAGAGGTTGAGGGGTCTGTGCATCAGACATCGACACAACTTTTCAGGTGAGCTGGATTAAGGCAAGAAGTTACTGGGTTCCTTTTTTAGCAAGGGATAACAAACATGCTAAAACCGTAACTTAAGATGAGTAAGTGTAAATGACATAATGGCTCAGAGTTGCATGGTGGTGTGAGTACTAGGAGCCAAGATTTCCTTCAGATTTCTGGATAGTCTATAGCCAAAGTTTAGTTGTTGGCACACACAGATTTTTGGGATGCTTTGAGTAAGGACTTCTGTGTGCAGTATGTATAAAGCACTCTAGAATTGCGTTTGCAGCCTGTGCTAGACAAGGAGTAGTCAAGCTGAGGGAAATACTAAAGTTGTCAGAAGAGTAAATTTCTCACGGTTTTTTTCAGTATTTCAAAATATTGAAATATGGATGTCTTACATGGAGCAAGTAAATGAAGTTACTGTTTGACACTGTACCTTAAGAGTAGAGTTCTATAGATTGTGATTTCTTTTGTTTCCAGAACTTGCAACTGTAGAGTAGGCTGGTAGTCACAGTATATTCTCCCATTGCTGTAGCTGCTTTGATATACTGCTTATGTTTTCCAAGTTTCTGGGAATTTCAGTTTATTCTGATGTCATTATTTCGTCTGTCCTTTCCATGCCTTTTCCTAAATGGATATAGAAATTCAACAATCTCCTAACCAGACATCAAGAACAGGAAAATCAAGGAAAGGTATTTTGTACAGTAGCATTTCAAATATGAAACGTGTTGTACTATATCCAAATACTAACACATCTATGATTTTTATTATCCTGGAGGTCCCTATATTGATGGTATGGGTTTTATAAATTGTATTTGAGAGCAGCCTTTGAGTGTTTTTTATTTGTTTGCATGTTTTGCATTGGTTCTTTATTATTGAATTTAACATTTGCTTTGTGTCATTAATGGTAATAAATAATTTTACTTTTACATATGTCCTTCTGTTAGTCTGAAAGGGAAATGGACTTCAAATCAAGTAGAAACAGTCTCCCTAGAGACTGCTTTTCTAGATCCCATTTCTACAGTAGTCAGAGTTCATCTGAAAGCTAGCTCATGAACTTTGCCTCTCTTGCCTTGTAAAGGACAATGTGACCTGGTCTTGATCATTGGTTTAAGTTACTATTCATTGAAAGCAAAAGTTCAGAAAACTGACTCAGCCATTTTGATGAATTACAACTGTACTAATTGAAAATATAATTGAAGTCACCTATCAAGAGTGATAACTGAGTGCTCCACACTGTCCGCCCAGCTCTAAGAGGCAGATTTTTATTCAGCTTGGGATGTTAGCAGGTAGATTAAACTGCTGGTACTGATTGAGATAACAGAAAACTGTTACAACTAATTAATATTTTTTAAATATTGCAATAGGAAACATTAAAAATTAGAGACTGTGTTGGTATTTTAACCGTTAGCTTGTCCTTGCACTGGAGATTTCAGCTTCTAAGTTTTATCTACATGACATATACACTGTATTTCATTGTCCAAGAGCCCAGTACAGGTCGGGAGATGTACTCATCAAAATTCCCACATAAGCCCTGTCTTTAGAACAGGCAAAATTTGCATACTCATTTGTGGTTTACTGCTAGAAGAGGAGATGTCTTCAGGCACGATATGCCTTTGTTTTCTTTTCCCTTGCATGATTCTGCACAAGACCGTAGTTTGGTTGTCATCGTGCAACTCTTTGGAAGGTCACCAGTCTCTTATTTATAAGCGACTTCATTTTGTTATGATAGTTAACAAGAAGTAATTATCAAGAACTTGAGGAAATAGCTGAAATAGCTACTATGTGGAGGTTGTTTCTGTTTTTCCCTTCTGTTTTGGGAATTGCAGAACCCTTTTATTTCATCTTAGCTGTCGACAGTTGAGAGGTTTTAGCATTCTTCAATTTGGATTCCTGGAGTTCAGGTTTCTTTAGTACATCAGTGATGTGCTAGAGTGCACTCTCATCAAGTTTGCAAATAGCTCTAAATTAGGAGGATCAGCAGATGCACTTCAGGGCAGTGCTGCCATTCAGAGGCACTGTACCCTGACAGGGTGTGGAAATGAACCGTCAGGCCAGTCTTACAGAATTCAGCAAGGGCAACTGCAAAGTCTGTACATGGAAAGGAAACCAAATCGCTACCAAACATGCTGGGACTGCCTGGCTGGAGAGCTGCTTTGCTGAGAAAGTCCGGAGGGTCTTGGCAGAGTGTGAGCTGCGAATGAGCCAGCAGGGTGCCCTGGCAACAGTGTCCTGGGTTGCATTAAGAGCAGCATAGCCAAGAGACTGAGGAAAGTGATTATCCACTCCTGCTTGGCACTTGCTGGATTGTGTCCCGCACCCTGGTATTTGAGCCTCCAATGCAAGAGAGATTGATTGATCTTTCAACAGTGCACAAGGTCAGTGGAAGGCCATCAGATTCATCAGGGGCAGGAGTACTTGCCCTTTGAAGATAGGCTGAGGAAACCAGGCTTTTTCAGCCTAGGGAAGAGGTGACTGATGGGGACCTAGCAGCAGCTTCTAGTACGTATGAGAAGAAGCCAGGTGCTTCCCAGTGACAGGAGGAGAGATGCAAGAGGCATAAATAGAAATGAGTTTCTAATTGGATGTGGGAACAGTAAACACAGTAAAACAGAGACACTATAGAGTCTCCCTCCTTGGAGGTGTTTGAGATTCAAACTGGATAAAGCCCTAAACAACCTTCCCTGACCTCATAGCTGAGCCTGTTTTGAGAAGGCGGTTAGCTAAGAGACTTCCTCCCTGGCCTGATTTATCCTATGATCCTGTGTACAAGTAGCTTGGAGCATAGTATAGAATGCCCTGGGTTTGCCCCTTTTGTCTGCTGAACACTCTTTTTGGTGCAGTGTAGAGAACTGCTGGTGATTCTTCTACTTGAGAATAAGCTTTAGATTTTGATTATGTTTTTTAATTTTCTTTACTTTTTCAGAATAATCTGTAACTGGGTAAAGCAGCAGATAGCATAGTATATAGCATAATGTTATGCATGCTACTTCTGTTAGTAAAATCTCTACATGTGATGTGTTCTGATGTATAGTATGAATACTTTGGAGGTTCTTTTATTTAATGTCTTGCTAAACCACCACCATTTTGTTCAGTGTTAACTAACATAGCATATTTCTGCTACGCTTTTTCTTTTTTTTTTTTTTTTTTTTTAAGTTTAGACTTGTTTCTTAAACTTTTAGGTATAAGCGTCCAAAGGGGATATACCCCTCCCCTCCCCTCTCCTCCCCTCTTCTTTCTTTTCTTTTTAATTCAGTGTCATTTGAAAAAGCAGTTTTGTTTTGGAAATGCATTCATTCATGCCACCTTGTATTGAGCTGACTACCTGAAGCATCATTCTATTATGACCTGTAGAGTTGTCCATGTTAAATGTTTATATGTGCTAGTTAATTTTTAATGTGCCCAATCTAATTTCAACTAATGTCAATTAATGTTTGAACAGCAACAGATGACTTTTCCCAAGGAGACTCAATCAGGTGAGACTTTAAAAGTACCTAACACTTACCTGAGGAGTTATTTGAGCGACATAGTACTCATTTTGCTTTGCTTTTCAAGAAGCTCTGAGAAAGAGGGAAGCGATGACAGTTGGCATACCTCTGAGGAAGAGGAACTCGATTTTACCCCCAAGGTATGGTGCATTTACAGGAAAAATGTCCTGAAAAAATAAGGGATTTGAAGGCAAGTTTTCTTTGGGATTGAAAGATGCTGCTGTTCCAGCCAATATTGTTTTCTCTTTAGAAACAATCTCTGTCCTGCCAGCCTTTCTTCTGCTGTGAGTTTTTCCTAAAAGACCTGTAACTGGGGCAGAGCATGCAATATATTTGTAGTTTGGAGCAAAAGAGCAGTAGGTGACAAGGTAAACAGCCATGTAGTTTTATTTGTTCTTGTTCATTTGAGTCAGATTTGCAGACCCTAAATGTTTTTAAGTTACTGTTATAACCTAATCTGTTCTCTCCGTAACCTGTTCTGTTCTTCTCCAAACATTGTTATTGTTTTGTGTAAATTTGGTGATAGATTCCTAACTGATAAAGAAAAAAGACATTTACTTATCAAGATCTACATAAATCCTTCTTCACCTAGTTTTCCTTTCCTCCTCAGCAGGTTCCTCAAGAGTGCTTAATGAATGGATGGCTCATATGGGTCATCTTTTTTCTTTTATAAGATGACATTCTGTGCTTGCATGTGATCTCACACTGCATGTTTTACCTCTGTGTCTGAATGCTCGAGTAGTATTCTTTTTGTCAGTTACAAGCTCTCACACCTACTGATTTTACTAATGATCTGGAGAATTATCAACTTCTGAATGGTGTCTGGAGCATCTGTTCTGTTTCACTGGAATTCTGCAGTGATGAGGAACTGGAGCATGATAGTTCAACCCACTCTGTAATGCTGGAGGTGCAAGCATGTTTAGTTTTAACATGATTTCATTTTCTTGCACTGATTTAAATAGAAATTATGCATTTTTCTGCCATGATTTTGAAATTTAGGGGTATTTTGCTAAGTATACTTGCAGGGACTAATTTATGCATTAAGTCTAGTTACTTGAGTAGTGCACATTTGTAAGTAAGCATGCTGGAACTGCTATCTTGAATATAGCTGAATTTTACTTAAGTATTATAAGTACTAGAAACAGATTTTTAGAACTGATATGCATGCAAACATAATTTTGGAAGCAGTTTGCAGAAGGGTGCTAGTTTGCTCAGTGTGAAATACTCCCTGAATTGCATACGTGAGGAGTTTTTTTGTTGTTAGAAATATAGGATGAAGTCACCACTATCATAAGGACAGTCTGATTATATTTACTGTTCAAGATTTGATACGAACAAAGAATTTCTTGTTGTTGTTGTTAAAAAATTTTTAAATAAATCTTTGTTTACAGAAGCTGCAGAAGCCAAACTTGACACTGCTAATGAATGCTTCACAGCAGTTCAGGAAAAAAAGTAAGCTATTTGGAAAAGGTTGCATGATATACCAATATATATAAGTAGACTTCCTAAGTAGGTTTTTGGGTTTGTTTTTTTAATTTTTGCTATAATAAATGAGAAAAGTAGCATTTTGAAAACACAGCATTTAATAATTCAGAATAAAATAAGTCATTAAGCCTTTTTCCCTCATTAAGTCCATCCTCCATCCTGCCCAACCTTACCTGTCTCTGTTTCCAGACATTCCTAGATGGCTCCTCTCCTGTGCATTAATCTGATAACATTGCTGTTTACTTAACTCCTGTTCACATGCATTTTCCCTTTTCTTGTGCTTTAAGATGATGATGGCGGTTCTAGAATTGCAAGTCCTAAGTCACCAAAGAAAAGTCTCAAACAGCGAATCCCATCAGATGCAAACCTGAACAAAGGAGACAGTGAGGAATTGTTTAATCAAGATGTCTCAGCTGCAAGCAACCTGGAGGAAGAAGAATTGGAGGAGGAGGAAGAAGAGGAGGAGGAGGAGGAAAATGATGATGAAAATCATAATGGAGATGGTGATGAAGATGACGAGGAGGAAGAGGAGGAGGATGATGAAGATTTTACTGAAGATGGAGAGGAGGAGGAAGAGTTGGAAGATGAAGAAGCTCAGTCTAGTGAAATACTGGAAGAGGAGCAGGGGAAAAAAACGGAACCTAAAGGGGAAATTAATGGGAAGTTAGAGTATATTAGTAAAGCTAAGTATGAAGAGGAAACTCAGTGTGGAACTGACACTATCTCCATTGATGATAAAATAAGTAAAGAACATGATGAAAAGCGGGAGGAATCTGTTGATACTCCTGTGTCTTTCATAACTGGGTGTTATGAAAGGTTGCTAGAAAATAAAACGTCGATGTCTCCAAAGTTCATGAATAATGAAGTATCTTGCAAGTCAGTACCAAAACAAGCTGTCTTTCAAAATCTAAATAATCTTCAAGATACGCAAGAAAGTTGGAACAGGAAAAGCATGATTCAGGAGAAGTTTCACAGAAATACTGACTTCTGTTTTGCAGACTCTGAAATGACAGATGGGAAAAAAGAGATGCCTCCCCCTCTCTCAAATAGTTGTGGTCTTAAGGAGAAAAAGTCAAGCTTCAGTGATGACTTTGAAAGTGGTAATAATTCTTGGTCAGCAGCAAAAAATCCAGGACTTGAAAGTGAAAGACCAAGCTCTGCCATTCTTGAACGTGTGAGTGATGAAGATACTGAAGAAGAGCAATATGAAAGAGTAGATGATAAAATCTGTGAACCACTGAAACAAGAAAGTGAAAACTTGCACTTAAATAGATATGAAGAAAATTTGAGAGCATTTCATTCGAGCAGCAAAGTAAGTATATAGGGATGATTCAATCACAGGGATATTTCCTAAGGGTAATATAGGTAAAAAACAAATGGTAAACTGGATTTCTGATAATATGTATTCTTCACATATATGCATCTTTTGATCATCCATTTTTAATGTTAGATAATGTCTTACTCCTAGCCGAAACGGTTTCTTTGTTATAAGAATATGGTTTTGCAGGAAAAAGAACAGGCAGTAGACTCTGGAATCAGTTAGGATTTTCTCAGTTCTATGTACAGTTTTTATCTGTGAGGATTTACTACTGTTTAGGAAAATACATGGTACCATGGCTGAAAGTGAGGAAACAAAAAGAAATTTGCATAAGATTGAGAGCAGGAAGGTAGTGATTTTCCTTGGAGCAAAGTAGGGGAAGAAAAGGCATATGTTCCAGAATGACATAACTTAATGAAGCTAGAGGTAGGCTGACCTGAGGAATTGCTGATGGAGGAACAGCAAAGACAATGCTTATTTCTGTTCTTTTCAGCTGCTTTAGTTGATCTCTTTTAGGAAGAATCACCTGAACAGGAAGAAGAAGTTGAGAAGCAGGAGAAGGAAGACAGTGGCGAAAAGCTAGTTGCTGAGGATGTGAAAAATTCTGTTTGTAATGATATCTGTGAAGTCCACAATGCTTCAAAAGACAACTCGGGTGAGAGAAATTACCTAAAATGATGATTAACTTCTGAGATAGTGAAATTTTCCCTTGCCTGTGAATCCCACTGGGTATTGGCAGAGAAAGAAAGCAGCTTTTGTTCTTTTTCATTCATTCTTGAAGAACTGAAATTGTAGCACTGTATTCCAAGCAATGCTATATGAAATGTGAGGTAAACATATACAGGTATTCTTCCCAAGAATGCCAAGGCAGTGGAAGGATTAAAAAAAAAGATTTATTTCAGATGCAAGGACCACTTTTTTACAATGTTGTATGCATCAGGGCCTCCGGGGCACAGGGAATGCCCCACCTCCTCCAATGCTTTTTGTGTCTTCTCTCTCTTCTCTCCCACCCTCTCTGGCCCAAGGAGGCCTTGTACCTTGTATCTCTCTGCATACCAGAGAGCAAGGCTGAGAACATCTCTTGCTATGCAGGGCAGGGAAAGCATTGAAACTGCCTTTGAGAAAGAGTTACCATTTAGGCAGAAAGCCTTCCTAGGGAGAGTTCTAGCTTTCTGTTACAAATTCTTCCGGAAATGTATCTATTTCTACAGAACCAAGTGCCATTCTTGATTTCTTGCTTTGTTCCTTCTGAAGTGATCTGAACAAAATGAGCAGGCGAAAAAGAGGAGGAGGACTAGAGTGTCTTGTGTGTGACAGTAGTATTCCCATTTTTCTGGCCGGTACTGTCAGATTGACAAGCTGGGATTGCTCTTGGCTCAAGCCTGGGAAAGATTGGAGTCAAGCTGAGAGCACTCTATTCTGTTCCAGTGCCTCACCTTGTCCAGTTTTAAAAAGTAGAGGGTTTCTCCAACGCCACACTTGTCTATGCTTGAAAACATTACCAACCTGGTCAGAGTTGAGCACTTTGGTACTTACCTGAGGTCTGAGTGCAGGAGGGGAAGGCATCGTTTCCACTGTCCATCTCCAGAGAGTAGCTTGGTGTGGTAGGTGTTACCAGAGCACGTGTAGCTGGTGATCAAATGCTACATGGGGCCTGCCTGGCAGAACCTGCTGTATTCAACTGTTGTGTCTCTACATGCTCATCTGTCTGTATGCATTTTACCATAGGCATGCATTTTGGCATGGTGTGAGTAGTCAGAGTCCAGGCTGGAACCAGCAGTTGCTTCTTCTGGGGTGGGTGCCCTTACTGGTCTCCAGCTCCTTCCCCCTCCTTGTGTGTATGTATCTACACAGCTGAATCCTGAATCTGTTTTACCTAATGGAGTCACTTAAAATGGAGAAATAAGATAGTACAATCTGACCAGGAACCCAGTGAGACTGAACATTACAATCATCTCACTGGAGAAGAGGTTTGAATTTTAATCCTCTGAGATGGAAACGGCTCTTGTGTCTTTGGGTAAGTGTTTGAGCTGTGAGCCTCTACTCTGTTTTTAAAAGGCAGTGCTTAGGTGTCCAGCTTCTGGGAAGGTGCAGTGTAACAACTGTCAAGGAAGATCTTTCCTGGTAGTTCTACAAAAGAAATGTTGTCTCTTGGTGACTTCAGTGATGTTAGTGTGAGGATGCTTTGGATAGTGTTTCTGTGGCACCCCTGTACAGTGGAAAGTGATAGTAAATGCCAAATTCTGGAGCTGTAGGCTGCAGAGAAGTGACCTAAACTCTGCACACAACAGGACTGCAGCAAACTGGAGTCTCTTTCTGAATGTTACTCAAACGAGTTGGATATTGCCTGTAGCTGTGTCAGCTGTTGTGCATAGCCATATTCTGCTGGAAAGGAAGGAAAAGGAACTGGCTATGTAAGGGACGTACCATGAAGTGTCTGTGTGTGAAAAAACTCTTTATCATGTGAAAAGGGGAGATTTTCTCGACCCTTAGTGTGGGGAGATTTCCTTAACCCTCAGTGATTTGTTTATCTGTCAGCACCCCAGGAAAGCCGAGACCCTTGTGCCCAACCTTGTCCTGTTATGGAGACCCATCACCAAACAGTCCTGCTGGATCGGAGGGCAATTCGACTGCCCATTTCAGGGGGCTCAGCCAACAGCGTAAGGGAGACCCCTCAGTGGGTCTTCCCAGTTTATTCAAGTGTCTTACTCACTGCCAGCAACTGCCAGCATCTGTGAAGGACTCACTCGAACAGTTTGCAGAACAACACTATTAATACAGAATTGTGATAGGTTAAGGTTCAAGGATCGCTGGTGATAGTATCTGACTGCAGAGATGCTTTTAAAGCAATACACAAACAAGCTCTAATCCCAGTAAAAGTATGCAGTATGTATAGAGTGCAGTTCTTACCCAACAGGCTCCCTACAGGTTCAGCCCATCAACTGATCCCATCAGTTATGACGGAGTCTTCCCTAACTGTTCCTGCATTCTCAGCTTTCTTTTGTTGCTTTAGGTTTAGGTGAAACTTGAGTGACTTTAGTCCTAAATACCTTTGTTACTGGTTGGTGTAAAATTCTCTCGCTTTGCTTTTAAAGATACAGTCAAAAAATATAGAGCACATGCCCAGGGGAGAGTGGTCATACCTTGGAGGTGGATAACTTTGGGATGGAGGTGTGTGTTAATATTATAATTAGGCTTTAATGAACCAAGTTCATCCGAGGAAAGAGATTTTGCCATAGTTGTTGGCTCAGCAGCAGGACATCTTCTGTCTTCCTTGACAGGTGCTATGTGGGTTATCAGCTGCAAAGTGCCACTGAGTTTTCTTCCCTGCAGGGATTTCCACAGAGCCTGGCCATGGTGTCTCTACTCCACTCCACCTTCCGTTCCATCTGTCTTAGCAAGTGGTTACTGTTGTGTGGGGAATCATCATGGAACATGCCAACTGCATTCCATCGAGGGAATAGCAGCTGCATTTTACCCCATAATTTCCGTACTGTTATAACTTCTGTGAGGATGTGAATATAACTCATCAATTTCCTTTAATTTTTACCACCAACCATCTTCCCACACTCTTGAATAAAACTCACTTCTTAGTTTGTCCTCAGCAATATAACCTGCATCTTTTGGATGCAAGGCTTGACTGATGGGGAAAAGCAGAGTGGAAATGTAAGCACTCAAGCATCTCACTTCTTACTTGATTTATAGGTGCCCTGCCAGCAGTGGGAGCAGAGCAAGAGGAAGATGCTGAATCTCCCTGGGATTCTGAGGTACTTTGTGTGAAGGACACGGGTGTTCCCACTGCAGGGGGATAGGAGTAAGATCCAGAAGCACTTGAGAGCTTGCTTTTGGCTTGGGCTCTACTGTTGATAAGGCTTATTTCATCTTTTCCTGCTTTTTCCATATGTTTGTAACTGGGGGACCCTTTAAATATTTCTGTTCTAGGTCAGCTGTTCAGTTACGATTGGGGTGAAGTTAGGTCAAGCCAACAGCTTGTGTCTCATAGCAACTGGCCTCTGAGTTCGGTTTCAAATATAATATTGAAGTAGTGAACTTCCTTGTTGCTTAAAATGCTCTGACTTTTTCCCAGAGGCTGGCAGAATTGATGCTTTTTCACCATACAGCTCTAGTCTTCTGACCTGATCAGCAGTTGCCTCTGCGGTCTACAACCTAGACAGTTACCTGCCTCTGAATAGATCCTCTCTACCTCTTGTAGTGTACTCTGGCCCTTTTTGAAAGTTATGTTCAACAGAGACACCACATATTCTGGCTGTGTTTTCCTTTTTAGTTCTTTCTATTCATGGTAATGGGCAGCGTCTATAGCTACCTCACTCTGGCTTTTCTTATGAGGAAAAATGAAGTCCTCCCATGCCTTTCTTAAAACTACAAGTCTAAAATGTTATTATTTTTAAGGTAGCTGTAAGTTTTGCCTTGCTAGTCTTTGACCAGCCCAAATGACCCTTATGACTGAGAATCGTGCTGTGTTCACTCACTACTGCAGGATACATGCCTAGGGAACATCAACACAAACTTGAATGTCAGGTGCAACTTCAGTGGAAATATTGGTTCACTGCAGACCTGCAGCTATTGGTTCAGTCTGCATCTTGAGTTACCACATTAATTCTCTTCTGTGGCTGTCCAGTTTGTCAGTGTGACAGAATAGTTTAGATGAGTTGCAAAGGTTTTGCCTAAGATCTGGAAACAGACACAACTGCTCTGATTTTCCAGTATACTATGTCTTGATGTGTCCTTTCCAAGGCTACAATAAAAAGTTCTTGTATCTCTAATATACTTGATGTCATGCTACACAATTTGACTTAAGCAGCAACTTTTTGTGTAGAAATGATTGAAAATGCATTTGTACCAGTTCTCATTCATGTGTTTTGGGTTACACAGGCAGATTCTCCAAGTCTGAGAAAAGTGTCATCCAGTATGTTGCTCCCAGCTGCAGAGAGACATGGAGTATGCTCCCTCATTGTTTCAGGGGAACACAACAATGGTAACTTCCTGGTGGCCTAGTGTTTGTCTGTAAGCTTTTATAGGCTGAAGTGAACTTGTATGAGTGTCTGCCTTCAAGTGCTGTCATGATGTGGATGTGAGCTATACCTGTGAAATGCTTACTGTTAATTAATGCCTTATCACAGCGCTTGCTGACCAGTTTGCAGAGGAAGTTGTTTTGCATTACGTGTGTTATTTGGACGTGTTTCTAATTTTTTTGGTTAAGTTCTTGTTGCATAGTGATGAAAGTGTATGTGGTTTAGGATTGACCCTTTCTGAACATCTAACTTTCTTGGATGATAATGCAGTGGAAGACAGCTGTGATCTGGCTAAGCATTTTTTTTTCCTCCTAGCTCAACTTTTGATAGCTTTTTATTGTACTGTACGTAGGGGCTAAAATAGGACTAAAAGTTCATGTTTTGTTGCTGAGGATTTCTGCCTGTAGTTTGTGACACTGTCTCCTGAGCATCTTGAGCAAAACATTATGAATTCCCAGGAGCTTGAAATGTAGTTGTTAAGTATTTGTTGTGGAAGTCTGCTTTGCATGATTCTACTAAGACATCAGTGTGAAAAGAGGGTAAAAGGTTATTATGGTAATCTTGCTAAGGTCTTTCCATCCTGCTAGATGACCAGGTTTAGTGAAATCAAATGATGTTTTTTAATGTTAGTTTGGATTATTTTAAAATACAAAATTTTTGCTGTGGAACCATGTTTAGTAATATTTCATGCACTTATTTCGTGAGAGGACTCAAAGATGTCTGTAAGATGACTAACATAGAGCATTTGAGAAATATAGGTGGGGCAGTAGATTCTGTGGGTTTGGAAATGATTCAGTGTTGGGCAAAATTAAAAAAAATAGTATTTGGAACTGTGGTATAAATGTAGATTACAACTAAACAACATTTGTTTCTATTGTTCCCACAACAATCTGATGAGGGCTGCCTTGCTTTTACCTTGTTACACATATATGAGGTTTCTGTGTCTGCATCCCTGCTTTCAATGGAAAGAAAAATGCTCCTCAATATTAAGCACTTGTAGAATAATCACAGTCATAATGCTGTTTTATGATCATTCATTGCAGCAGACCAGCTTTGGCTTTTGAAATAATGATTTTAGAAAACAGGATTCAGTTCCTCAAAAGAACTGTAAATATTTTGATCTTGTTCTGTTAACAAGCATGACCTTATTGCTTCACATAAATTGTCTTAGTTCTGTGATAATTATTTTTTAAATCCAAGGTGCATGATGGGAAATATGCATTGTTCTTTTCTTGTATCCTAATGCAAGTGCTGCGTGATGAGGTAAATTGAATGTTAGGTATTATAATCTTGATGAAATAATGCTTGTGACTTGTTTCTGCTTAGTTGTAGAAACCACCGATGTTGAATGGAGTAAAAGATACCCACAATTAAATAACGTTTTCCAAAACATTTTTCACCTCCAGGTTTTTTTGAGAAACCCAACAATTCACGGGTGAGTATTTTTTCATATCAGACTAACTACTTATTCTGCTCATTAAGTAGTATGTAGTTACTTTGAATTTGGTGTTTTATCATTGAATTGTCTTTCATAGCTGAAGACTTCCAAATCTGCTTTGGAAATGAATGAAACCTCTCCTAAAAACAGACAGCAGAAATCAGGTAATGTTCTCTTCAAGTGGTTTTGGATTTAGCTTCATAATTTTTTAGGAGTATTTAGTGAGGCATCTGTTTTGTGTTTGGCAGATCTATTGCAGGAATTTGGTTTAGAAGATGCTGAGGACATTGAAGGTATCGTAACAATCTGTTTGTAATGTTCTTTTATGGACAGACACATTGTACTTGCAAATTTTTTCCTGATATTAAATTAATGTTTCTACCAGGGTGTTCTGGAAGCAGGTGGTCTGCTAAAATATGCACCCATATATGTGTTTGGTCCCTCCTGTAGTCTGCCATTCAACACTAAATACCCTTCCATGACATAGGCTTCCTCCGGCATTCATGCTGTCATCTCCCCTTTTCAGGCAGTCCTGAAGTTTGCTTTCCTTCCAATTTGCATACTATTTTTTCATACTACAAGCACTGAAGGCAGGTTGTAGCCAGGTGGGTGTTGGTCTCTTCTCCCGGGCAGCTAGCAATAGGACAAGTGAATGAAGTCTTAAGCTGCGCCAGGGGAAGTTTAGGTTAGACTTCAGGAAGAAGTTCTTTATAGAGAGAGTGACTGGGCATTGGAATGGGCTGTCCAGGGAAGTGGTGGAGTCACCATCCCTGAAGATGTTTAAGAAAAGATTGAATGTGGCACTTAGTGCTGTCATCTCGTTGACAATGTGGTCATAGGTTGGACTTGATGATCTCAGAGGTCTTTTCCAATCTGGTTGATTCTTGATTCTGTGATTCTGAAAGACTGCCTTTCCATAGCTCATTTCAGGTCAGCTATTTTTCCTGTGTGTCTTTAATCATTTGTCATGTTGGTTTTTACCCATGTGTTGTCTTGAAGATCAGATATTGAGAAGTCCATGTGAAAATTTCTTTCAAATGTTTATATTTGGACTTGAATTTAAGTAATTTAAATTGCTTCAGCAAAGCATCACAATTCCTGAAGCACAAATATTTCTAACTCCAGAAGGGCTAAGTGGTATCATTCACAAGTTTATTTAATAAATATGGGAAATAGGTACAGTATCTTGCACAATTAAATGTTGAATGAGATGAAATTTCCCATTCTATTTACTTTGTTGCTGACTCATAGTAATAACTTCTTAAAATCTATTTTTAGGTCAAAATTAAGTAGTGGTATTCTCATGTTTTCAGTGCAGGAAGGTAGCTGCTTTGCACTTTAATCTGGAAAAAGTAATTTTGTAAGAATTTATGAGGAGGGAAATGTCAGAAGACAGCAGAGAGGTAAAGACTAATTGGAAAGAACACTAAAAGTCATCTTTTAATGTCAGCTAGAGAACGGGCAGAGTAAAAGGTGGGGAATTTGCATCTTTTGTATGCACAGTGATTTGTGTTAGGCACAAAGACAGATTCATTTAACCCCACTGGAGGTATCAATTAATAAAAATACATGCTGGTAATAAATGACTGGCAAAAATACCGGTTAATTTACTTGAGGGGGAGAGGGTTTAATATTTTTTTTATGGCAGGCGCTTCAGAAGCTTCTGACCAGTGTTCTACCAATATTTTAACTAAAAATTTCTCCCTATGCTAAAAGTGAAAAAATCTTAACAATTAAGAGTTATCCCTCTTTCACAGACAGTTGCCAATAATACAGAAAATAGACTCCTTAATCACTGCTCCAAGAAGAGCAGTGATTTTATTTTCAACAGCTAATGAGAGAAGTTCTTGGGTTTTTTCAGTTTATTTTTGAATTATTTTTCCAATCACTGGTAAAAGAATTACCGACACAATGAGAACTGGAATTTTGAAGATGGTATGACATTGTTGCCTTTTGTCTTTCCTGCCTTTTTCCTTTCTCTGTGCCCATTATAGAGAAATTTCAAGATTGATTAAGCCCTATGTGAAGTAAATCTTATGGGCTCCAGAGACCCTGAAATCTTATCTGAAGACTGAGATTTCAGACTCAAATAGCTGCTACTGAAGACTTTACTGATGAACAAGACTGAATAGGAGTTTGTCTTCTTTTGATTATAGCAGTCTTGCTATAATTTATGTCACTCTCTACAGTAACTTCTATGGTGCTATCGACAAATGCTCCCTGGCCACCAGCACATCTGTTCTTTGTTTTTACTCCTGATCGAAGCCTTCACCTGCACCAGCAAACAGCTTGATATTGGGGTAGCTATAAGGATGAGTCAAGTCTAAAGCTAACTCTATGATGTTGAAAACAAGAAAAAGAGGGCAGTGCCTGTGTTCCTTATAGAACATTATCCTTCAATAATTATTAATTATTGCTGTTATTATTGTCTTTAGTATTTGTCACACTGTCTGCAATGCATCACAGTCATCAATACATCATCATAACAAACCTGTGAAATAAGTGCTGTCAACCCACTAATGACTACTTTGTGTTGGGAAATACCTTGTGCTGAAATGCTCAAAAACCAAATCTACAAAAAAATCTAGGAAATTCTACCCAACAGTGACTGAGGTGGGAGGAAAAGGTTATTTCACGCAGTGTAACTTGGGGTTAAAATCAACTTCTGGAGACCTATATGAATGACTGAAGAACTTGGCTTCCCAGTTCAGACATACGAGTTGAAACTCTAAGCTTGTAATCCCCTTCAAGAAATGAAAGCTTTCAAAAGTACTCCCCTAAAGCAGAAAATGCCAGAAATGAGATTGGCCCTGTGACTCATTAATACCGTGCCCTTTGTTTTGTATTTTTATGATAATATCTACCTATTTTTCTCTGTCTTGTTAATATTTCTTGTAGGAAGGGTATTGTGTCTCTCTTTAGCAGCAAAACTTTGTGCATAGAAAGGCTGTTGCATAGAAATCATAGAATTATGGAGCAGGACAAGAGGTGCAGAGTGATTAAAGTGAAAAGCCTCCATCTCTTGTGTTTAGATTCCACACTTGAGGTGCTGGGACTTGTTTCTTTCTGAATATTTGTTACTTAAAAGTGTTCAGTGTGCCTAGACAGAGTGACTGCTTCTGAGGGGTTTGTGACTGCCCATATTTTATAGAAATTCCAAGAAAGGGAAGAGTGGAATCCAGTTTTCACCAGTATGAGTGAAATATTCAGATCACTGTTTCTCAACGTCACGCAAGTCTGTATTTCATTGAGTGTCCCATCCATGTCTCCTGCAACAATTTGAAATACTCAGTCCAGATCCATGTCTAAAGACAGATTTGTTTCATGCATAGAGTAAAGCTGGGGCCTCATAAGATTTCAAAGCTTTAATTTTTTTCATGATTTTCTGTGCACAGCATATAGGGAAATTAAAATTGCTGGAGGAACATAACTAGTTACTGTATAGCACACAGTGTGTCAGAGAAATTGAGATCACACACCTTTAAGAAACAAGATTGGTTTACTTGTGCCCATTGGTAGTGAATTCCAGCAAATTTCCTTTATACATTAAAAGGTAAAACGCCCTGGAAGAAAGCAATTCACACAGATGCATCTTAAATCTCTATTATGGTAATTTTCTCTCTAGGAGCTCACAAATTAGAGGGGATGTGTTAGTTTGTGTTAAGATTTGTCTCACTAATATGATACAAGATGCACTCTAGGTGTAAATAAGTAGAATTAGGTTATACAGTTTATCAAAATACTTGTTTTCTCACTGTAGGTGAGTACTCAGGATCTACCTTTCATATGTCATCATCAACTGAAAAAGAAGATGTCAAGGATGCCCTTGAAAACTATGGGGTGTGGGTATGTAACACCAAATATTTTAAATTAGAGTCTGAATCAGTAAATTGTATTATATGCTAATGTAAAGAAAACTTACCAATCAATGAATAATTCTGAAGGGAAAGTCCTGTAGAAATTACAGCCCAAAGTAAAGTGGGATGCAGTCTTCTTATGGTGGGGAAAAATCCTTATAATTATGTTAGATACTTGCTGTTACACTAATTTGTTTCCAGCTGGTTTGCTTAAATTTTGTTCAGTGTTTTTCCTTTTGCATGGTGCTGAGAAACAGTGCAGTGAAATTCATTTTTTTACCTATGCAAAAGGCACATTCAAGTAAACAGGGAGATTTGTATATAATATGCTGATCTGTTTGATTAAACATGCCAGGTAAAAGAAGGATGAAATAAAAAAATTTAAATATTGTGACCTTCTTGATGCTTTCTCTGCCTCTGCAAAATACGTGCTTGTTTGGCCATGTTAGTAAGTGTTTGAGAAAGGTTTTGTTTTTTTTTCCAGAGGGCATTCTAGAGAGAAAAAAGGCACCTTGGAATTTAAAATTTCTGCATCTTGGCTGAAGAAATAGGCCTACCTTAGCCAATTCTCTGTGTGGTGAACAGTAAAAAGCTTGTCACGGTGTATTAGCTTAGCTAGCTAATACACTGCCAGACAGTAGAAAACAATGGAGAATGGAGGATGAGAAAATGTTGGCAGTTACAAAGAAAAATGGTATTAAAGCAATAAAACATGAAAAAATAAATTGCTTTCTAACAAAGGCCACCAGTTACAGAAAGCAGGCAGGCTTGAAGATAAAAGTAACCCTAATGTCCAGTCAAGTCTAATCTAGAAAAACTGTTGTCTCTAAAGTAAGTCCTTCTGTTTTTAAGAAAAAGATGATTCAGTGACCTTTAATTTAGTATCCCTTGCTTTGTATTATAAAAATTGTTTCAAAAATATCTTGATTCTATTATTTCTGTTATGTGATAGGATGAGTTTGCAACAGAAATTACTTAGATTAACTGTAACTTCTTTTTTTCTTGGTAATCTTTTTGTCTGTACCTGTTTATTAAGGATAAGTATATTTTAGAAACTACCAACTTGATAGAAAAAAGAGCACATGAAAATCAAATTGACAAAGCAGAAATTTCACATCAGGAAGCCCTAGCAGAAAATGAGGAATCGTACAGTGCTGATAAGGAGTTAAGTCTGAAACCTTGGGAAGAAAGATATGAAAAACTGTGGATTGAAAAGGAGAAAAGGGAATTGAAAACAAATTTTAAAAACATTACAGCAGAGCTGAAGCAGTTGTTTGGTGAAAATGAAACTGGGAAATCTGCTTCCCATGTGAAAGGAATACCAGAAGATGGCTTTGGTGAAAAACTGAAGAGTTCTCGCATTATTTCCTCTCCTGTGACAGAATCAAGTAGTAAGTTAGAAAGCAAAGGTGAATTTGGAGATATTAAACTTATGCTAGATGGAAAAGTACCCCAAATGAAAATTGTAATTCCGAGTCTTGGTATCCTTCCTGATGAAAATAGCTTAAAGGCAAATATGGAAGATACCCGGAATAGAGATGAAGATGGCACTAACAATATGGATAACAGAAAGGTGTCTCTGGCAAAAGGAGAGAAAAAGAGAATGCCTGCTATGGAAACAGAAGAGAATGATAATGCAAGTAGTGAAAACGCAGAGGAAGGTTCTACTTACTCCCTGAGTCATAGCTTAAAATCAAGTATTTTGGGTGAGATTTCTAATACTCTTCCTAAAATAAGAGCTGTTTCTACAAGTGATGAAAATGCAGTTTTTGTAACAGAAAGGAAACTTGAAAAATACTCTGGATTTAATGATGATGTTCCCAGGGACTGCCTTATCAACAATAATAATATGGGAGAAACAGAAATTGAAAGTCTTTTTGCAAATGCTCAGCAATCTTGTGGCATGCTGGAAAGGAATCTTGATGAAGAACTAAAACAAGATATGGAAAGATTTAAGAGTAAGGTAGGAATGCTGCAAATAGTATTCCTGGCTTTGGAGAAAGAGAAGGTACAGCTGCAAAAAGAGGTAGTTCACCTGCTACTCCTTATTCTTTAGGCTTTTTCTATATCAATGGTCCTGTTCACTTTAGCTATTCATCATTAAGTGAAGATGCTTTGTGCCAATTGATTGTGGTTTTAATGGCAATACGATGCTTATGAATAAAGAGAGCAGCAGAGAGTTGCCCTTTTCACCCTTTTACCCCTTTTTGGAAAACACAGAATATGTTATTTTTCCAGTTTAACAGTAGGTGGCACTCAATTCCAGTGTAAGTAGTTAACATTTAATTAACATAAAAAGAACTGCACACAATTAAATCAGTTCTGATTCTGACACAGAGAATGAAAATAGCTTCTGAACAGGGTCTTGACCAATCTTTTCATTTGCTGTGATTTCTGCATGATGTGTCTTCATTGCCCTTCAGTAAAATTCCCGTTTGCTGTGAAACTATTTCTGCTTGTGGGTTTGGAATCTTCTCCCCTGCCACACTACCCATTCCCTATGGAGGAAGCAGTAACTGAGCACACTTCCACTTGATTTTTTTTTCTGTTTTTACAACTAACATTGTGCAGTCCTTCTAACTCTTTAATCCATCAGTAATGCTTTCACTTCTTTGTTGTTCATGTTTTAAGATACACGATTGTTTTCTTTCTAAGGACTATACTTCTGTTCTATCATAGAATCATGAGTGAATTTGAAATACTTTCAATGGCAATACATTTTGTAATGTAATTTTGTGAAAATACTTCTCTATATTATTTCTTTTTTCATTTTATGCTTTTTCAGAGATAAACACTGAATTATTCAGTCTTGGATATTGTGTTTCTCTTTTCTGGAAATACTGAGAAATACATGAAACTTGCCTTTCTTTTTGTAGGTTGAGAAGGAAAAAAGCAAACAAAGATGTTTGAAAATGCAGAAGGTGGCAAAACAGGAAGATGTTGCTGAATTAAGTACACTGCCAGGCAACATTACTAATAAGGAAATGAAAGAAAAGCTTACTCTAAGAAAGAATGACTGTCTGAAAATGGAGAATGAAAACAGTACAGAAGAAAAGGACAAAAAGAATTTTTCACCTGAGGAGAGGTCAAAATTGATTAAAATGCCACTGAAAGGGTAAACTGAAATACGATCCCTAATGCTTATTTGTAGCATTACTCAAGTATCTGTTAGGTTTTCTAATACTGTACTAGTTGAAGTAGTGTCCTTAGTACTGAAAGCCATACTGAGTAGGCCACTGCATCACAAACATTGAAGAAAAATAATTTAAAAAAAACTTCGAAACCTAAGCACATAATGAAGGTTCAAATTTATTGCCTGCTTAAAAAAAAATAAAACGAAAAAAAAAGAGAAACCACATTCCTGTGAACTTCCTTATAATGTTGAGGCAAAATGAGTCTTCAAAATGAGAGTCAAACACTGAAAAAAACCAGTTATTTTTGTAGGAAACAACTATCCAGAAAAGCCAAGTAGGAGCTTGCAGTTTATTTTGCTGTCTCCCTTTTCCAAGTGATTTTAAGTGATCTGTATGCAGGTGGTGTTTTCAATAATTTCGGGTGCTCTTTGTCAGGAAAAGGGAAAAGATATTACCAAACCAATCTCAAAAATTTGAAGGAAGCACAGATATTTTTAGGTAATACTAAGCAGGAGTGTTTTCCTGTCTGTGCTTCAAAAGAATCTCTGCTCTTGATACTTCTTTTAATAGGGATATAAGATATATTTCAGCTTTCCTGAATCTAGTTCAGGTTGTACATTTCTGCCTCATTCCTTTGGGAAGGTTTTTAAATACTTTTAAATACTTACAATCTTTAGGGTTAAGTCTGTGTTTTATTGGAGATATTTTTTTGTCTCACTTGTTTCTGGACATCATCTTAAGTATGGCTGTTTCACAGAAATATTTTCTGTAAAATTACTCAACTAGTGTTTTTTTTTTCTTTCTGTTTAATGCAGTGAATTTGCCCTGAATCCCAAAGTTGCAAAGAAGAATAAAAGACAGACTTTGAAGCAGACAGCTAATCAGCAGATGAGCTCTTCCAGTGGGAATCATTTTCAAACACTGGATGATAGCACTTTCAGTGAAACATCTCAAGATGAAGAAAGGTACTGAATATAAGAAGTGTTATAAATAAAACTCACTTAATGATAAAAATTGACCTAAAGCTGAAGGAAGTTTTTTGTAAACATGATATGTACAATGGTTCTTGTTCTTTTATGTGACAACATGACCTGAAGCCTTTTGTGTTCCAAAACACTTATCTTTTGCTCAGAGTGCTTAGAACATCCTAGCCAAGTTAATTGTAAGGTCAGTGGGCACAAATGTGAATAATTACCTGAATGTGTGCGTACATAAACATAGAAATATTTTATATTTTTAAAAAGGGAGAGGAGAGACTTATAAAAAAGTGAAATTGCTGTTTCATTGCAGGCATCTTAGGGTTTATTTTTTGTTTTGTTGTTTTTTCTTCAGTTGTATGTCCTCCTGACTTCTTACCTACCTCAAACTTACTTGTATAGGAGGCAAAATGAGAGACAGAAGTTGCTGACAGGGTACAAGCACTATTCAGCAATAGCTAAAACAGTGGTGTGTTGTCGACACTGTTTTGGTCAGGTATCTAACACACAGCGTTGTGTGGGCTGCTATGAAGAAAATTAACCCCATCCCGAGTACACTAGAGAATCCAAAATTATGGTCATTTGACCTGTAAGCAAAAAGAGTCTCAATACTGAGGAGAGCTAAACCTCTGGTATTAAACAGGGAATGCACATAACTGTGTCTGTCTGTGTATCTGTAGCTGTACAATTCCTTTCACTTTGAGTGAAGTGCAGAGAACAGTTTTTTCAAGTATTTGCTTAATATCTTGTGAAAAAAAATAGTCTTCCAATAGCAACAGTGATAGACAAATTTTTTTTCCAGTATTCAACTACATCTAACAAAATTTTTATATTAAATTTTACTTTAATTCCCTTCTGAAATTAGGTTTTCAGAGCAACTTTGATATTGTTCATAATGCAAGATAAACCTGCCAGAACTGAAATACATTTCTATTTTCCAGACCTGCAGCAAAAACAGGAAGTGAAAAGAACAAGGTACTGTAAATTAGTTTCTTAATAAATAGTTTTACCAGCTTTTAATCACTTAGATGGGATGAACCAGATGCACAAATTGCTGCTAGTATGTACCTTTATCATATATGAGCTAATTTTATGAACTGTGAATGAGAGAATGAGTCATGCATGCATTTGTAAGGATCTGCAATACTATATAGCTGTATACAGAAAGTACTGTTTGTAGGTCGGCATGGATGTAACTGATGACCTTGATTTAACTCACTCATCTGACACAGCTTCAGAGGATGTCGCATTACCAACATCCACGTACAAAGAGGCTGTGCTGCTGTTAGAGCAGCTTAGTGTGGATCATACAGGTATGTTGAAAGTCACTTTTTCTTCAGATGTTACATGTTTCTCTTTTAAAACATGGTTTCTTTGCATACCCTCCTAGATATTTTAATTTCATATTTCTGTCTAATGTTTCTTTATGGGTAGAGAACTGTCTCAAAGGATTTGAAATTATGTCACCTTAACCTGAGATGTCTGTCTGCATTGTCAGTACACTTGCTTTGCTTTATCATCGGTTCTCTGTCTAGTCAGAGCTGAAGAAGCAGATTCTTGCAAAGTATAGTTGAGCTTCTCCTAATACATTCATTACCTGGGAAGACAATGCCATTATTTGAAACATCCCTCTCTTCCTTCTTCCCTCAGCTTTATATGCTGAGCGTGATGCCATAGGATCTGGGGTATCTTTTTGGTCAGTTGTGGTCAGCTGTCCTGGCTGTGTCCCCTCCCAACAACTTGTGCACCCCCAGCCTCCTCGCTGACTGGGTGGTAGGAGAAGCAGAAAAACCTTGGCTCTGTGTAAGCCCTGCTCAGCAATAAGAAAACAATCTCTGTATTATCAACACTGTGTTCAGCACGAATCCAGAACACACCCCATCCCACTGTGAAGAAAATTAACTCTGTCCCAGCCTAAACCGGCATACCCCACAAATAGTGCAGCAAAATAATGGCTTTACTTAAGCATACACACACACACACACACACGCATATATATATAAATTGTCATAAGAAGAATTAACCTTGGCTAAGGGACAAACTTCTGTGCAGCTGCTCTCTCACTGCCTCTCCTCAATAGGACTAAATAGAATGAAAAAGCCAGAAGAGCAATATGAAGGCAGGACTGTCACTTACCAGTTACTGTCACAAAACAGACTCCACTTGGGAAAACTTAATTTGTTACAGTTTAAAATAAATTTGGACTGTGAGAAACAAAGCCAAAAAAATTAAGATTCCTTCCACCTCATTCTTCACTGACCTTCACTGTTGTTTGCGTTGTTCCCCCCTTTTCCTTTACCTGTGTGGTGGTTTTGCCCTCTCCTAAATATATTTTTCCTTGAGGTGCCACCAGCATGACTGAGAGGCTCAACTGTGCCCTGCAGTGGGTCCATTGGAACTGTCTCTGCCTGGCACAAGGCAACCCCTGGCCTCTTCTCACAGAGACCTCTGCAGTACCTGCAGTCTTCCCACTACCAAACCTTTACCACTTATGCCTAATTAATAATTTACACATTAGAAAGTATTTGTGCATATGTGCAGCTTTATCTTTCTATCTCAAAATAGGTTCTGCTATTTTATTGAAAATTCAAAACATACTTCTTAAATATGAACAAATAATAGAACATGAAAAAAATCGATATACAGCTGTCTGTAAAGAAGTAAGAAAATTGGAAAGTGAGAAGGAAGAATCACAGTTAATAGCAGAAGAGACTCAAGATTTAAAATCTATATTGGCTCATCAAGAAGTAGAATGGAAAAGTGATATCCAAAGCCTTAAGTATGTATCCTTGTGTCCTGAAAACATGTTATCTCATCAGTGTGAATGTGCCAGAAGGTGCTGATGATGCATGTGATAGGATAAGAAGTTTATAGTCTTTTGAGTTTGGGTTTCTTTTAATCTCTTGGGCAAGTTATGCTATAACTGACATAATGTCAGGGGGGAAAAAAAGCTTGAATATTAGCTCCATCTAAAATCTTCTGCAAGTTGTTTTCAGGTTTTTTTTTAACAACAAGAGAAGAGAACAAGAGAATTTGTATAGGAAAATGAAATTTATAAGAGAGGATTTATATAAATTTTGTATGTTAGTGTCTTTGCAGCTTCTGTTGGTGTATAATATTAGGAATTCAGGTAAGTCCACAGAGTGAAACAGGAGATTGAAGTAAGTGATTATCCACCCTTACTCAGCACTTGCTGAACTGCATCTAGAGCCCTGGGTCCAATTTTTGGGCTTGTAGTACAAGAGGGATCTTAACTGATATATGTGCATTCAGCAGAGAGCTACCAAGCTGGTCAGGGAGCAGGAACAGCAGCCCTGTGAGGAGAGGCTGACGGAACTGAGCTTTGAGGCATTGCGCTTTCTGGTATATGGAAGACAAAGCCAGTCCTAGGTTTGCCTGGATTTGACTCCAGCAGTTTGTCAGGGTTTAAGCCCAGATGGCAACCAAGCCCCACTCAGCCACTTACTCCCCCACCAGTGGGATCAGGAAGAGAATCAGAAGGGTATAAGTGAGGAAACTCATGGGTTGAGATACAGACAATTTAATAGGGAAAGCAAAAGCCATGCACACAAGCAAAGCAAAACAAGGAATCCCTGCATTGCTTCCTATGGGCAGGCAGGTGTTCAGCAATCCCCAGGAAAGCAGAGATCCATCACACATAGTGACTTGGGAAGACAAACACCATCACTCTGAATATCCCCCTGCTTCTTCCTTCTTCTGCCTGCTGTATATGCTGATGCCATACAGTATGGGATATCCCAGCCAAAGCCAGCACATTCTCAAATATGTATCAATTACAAATAACTAATATTTTTGTTCTAAATAAATTATCAAAGCGATGTTAACTTTACAATTATAAAAGCTGTATTTTTTCTTTTGTGAAATTACCCTAAAATATGTAAAGCTTTTTCCTTGCAATATAAACCACTGAAATACAAATGTTACTGTCAGTCTTCTGAATAATTTATTAATGGCTGCTGATACTTGTTTTGCAGAATTTTTAAAGCAGATTTTCAATTGCCAGCTCTTTCTTTATGTTATTTTTTTTCCTTGTTGACTGTTGCAAGGGATATGAGAAAAACATACTAAAATTAATTGTGAAACACAAAACTGCTTTTTTGTTTGGATACTGTGGACGCACCGTGGACCATTTCTTCCCATGTTGGTGTTTGTTGCTGATTGTTTCAGTTAATAAAGAAGTTGATATTCCCCAAAGCTTTCAGTATGAATTACCTTCAAAATTAAATTGCTGATGTTTCTCCCAGATGTAGATCCATCAAGGTTGAAAACTACTTTTAATCTCATTAAATTTAAACCCTGTGCATTTCTAAATATATTTTTGAACACTGACCTCATTCTGGAGTAAAGAGAAACTGCTTGCTCTTTCTGTGGTCAGCAGTTGTTTTAGACTTAGAAAAGGCTTGTTATAAAATTGTTGGGTCTGTCAGAGAGATAAGTAATGTGCTGCTTCATCAGCATGACTTGCAATCACTGAATCCATAACATGCAGGCAATGCTCAGCATATTAAGAAAAGGTATATTAATCATATTAATCAAAATTTTATGATGCTTCGATCTGAAAAGACAATAAACTCCTTTTGAATGAAGTGTCTCTAATGTGAAGATGACTTCTTTAAAAATTACAGAAATTTGCGTACCATTGTATATTTACCTATGTAAACTTACAAAGGATAAAACACTCCGTGGTTTATTTCCATATCTTATCAAACTGATACCATGGATAATGGAATAAAGTTAGAATTCTTTAAAAAGTTAAAAATTATAGTAAAAATATAAATTCTGACAATATTTAACATTTTTATGGTTTGTCTCTACAAATTCATCATGTGGAATATCTACTTTTTATATCAGTTCTTTAATTTCTCAACTACTCTGTTAAATCCCAGATTTACTTTGAAACAAGAAGAGGAAAAGAGGGTCAGAGTAGAAGCACTCTATGAGAAAACAAGAGAAAAACTCAGAAGGCAAGAAGAGCAATATTGTAAAGAGATGGAGGAGAAACGGCAACTTGAGTTACAATCAAGAAATTTAGAAATGGAGTTAATGACACTGAGAAAGCTCTTGAAACAGGTATATTAAATAATCCGTTAAACATTTGTCTTCTTATTTCCTGCTTCTTTTTTATTGGTGTTGTGTTTCAGTATGCCTAAAGAAGAAGGTACTTAGTTCATGGACAAGGCATTGGGTAACTGTTGCCAAATTTTGAGAATAGTTGGTTTCCAAGAAGTCTATTGTTTTTTTTTTCTCATTTGTATTTCAGGTACAGCCAAACTTTGAATTATTTTTCTAAATTCCTACCAAACATTCTGTATTTCTTCTTAATTTTTCAGAAGAAAATGAAAATTTATAGATGGATTATTATAATTGTGGGGAAGCAAAAATACTTACAAAAATAAAATGGAGAATGGGAAGATATTGCTAGCTCTGATTTTTCTCAAGAAGCAAATAGTTTAACTGTATTATTGTAGGTCGAAGAAGAGCGTGATGAAACACAGAGACACCTTTCTCAGGAAAAGAGTGCCAGAGCCCTGCAAGAAGGCATTTTGAACAACCACCTTTGGAGACAAAAGGAACTAGAAGAAGAGACAAGAAGAACTATAGGAAAAAATTCAGATGTAAGTAGACTTTTCCCCTAATTAATTAAATTTCATCATGTTCATTCTCAAGTCATATAAATTTTTCTGCTGCTTGATTGATTATTTACAGTTTCCCAGTGTAACTTTGTAAATACGTCTTCCATTTTAATCCCTTATGTCTTTAAAAGTTCTGGAAAGCAGCATCATCCTGTAGGTACTGCAATTGCATGTGCAAGTAGAAAACTACCAGAAAGCGCTATTTACACCATTTTTAACTGTCATGTTTTTCTTTTCCCAGACATTTTATCATCACTTTTTAAGATTTCTAGCAGTGAAACACATAGCTACCTACATTCAGGTTGACCAGGAAGAAAGCTGTTTGACATTCACTCTCTGTTCCCATTATTTGTTTTTTTAATTACTTACTCCTTATCAAACTTAGTTACTTTAAGTGTGCCTTTCTCTTCCACCTCCCCATACCAAAATTTTATGAAGGAAGATAAGCAATGAATTAAACTCTCTGTACTAGTTAGAATAATTGAAGGAGAAAAAGTAGTCCTGAACACTGTCTTAAAATCTGAATTTACTAAGCAGGTGGAGTTCTTGGAAGAATTACTTGGCTGTGCTGCCCAATTAACGTAGGATGGATATGCTTATGTGGGAAAAAAGTTATGTAATAAACAAGCAATATACAAGACTCTTGCATTCCAGGGATGGTTCAGTTGTATAGCTAACTTTCAGTAAAGCTAAAGAAAAAGTGTTAAAAAGATATTGAAGAAGGAAAACACCCTCTTTAGCCTTGTTTTTACCAGATTGGTAACACAGGTAAATTAAACTTAAAGGGAATATTTCAGAGGCATGAATACACATATGTCATGGTTTGAGATAGTCCCCAAATCCAATTCCCTAGCTCCATTCCCCCTCCCACATCTCCACTTAATGTGAGATGGGTTTTTCCAGACAAAACACACACCAGACTCAAAGTGGGGGAAAGGGAATATATTACAATGACTGTACAAATAAATACTATATCACGTTATACACATGATCACAAACTATCTCTACCATGACATATGTATTTACAGTGGATCAGATCTCTTCTCCCCTCCAAATAAAAGTCCAGGAGGGAAAGAAGGACAGATCCCTTCCAGTCCTTAAGCAGCAGCATCTTCTGAGGTAGCAGTCTGTCTGTCTTCTCCACATGCAGCAGCTGATAGCTGGCTTTCTGCCAGCACTCACGAGGGAGGTATTCAAGCCTCTCTCGGCCCCATCGCCTCCAACCGAGGGGTCTTCCGTGGGCTTCGTAACCCCAGACAAGGTCGTATCACCACGTCATATCACGAAGACACAGGGGGGTCTTCGTGACGGTCTGGTATCTCTTGCAGGGCCTCTGTGCCCTGTCTCTCAGGCTGCCACCGTGGCAGCAGTGCGAGGGGGGGGGAGCCAAGGTCAACTCCCCCCCGCATTCCATCTGGTTGTCCCGGTCCAGCTCTGGGATGTCTTTTGAGCTTCTCAGCTCCTCTATCTCTCTGGTGCTGCATACTCCAAGGCTCCTCTAAAATAGGAGTCCATCTACTCCTCCTTTCTCGGAGGTCTCAAAGGAGTTTCGGGGGGCTGGTACAGTCTTACCCCCAGAACTCTGTCTCACAGGCTGCTGGCTCTCTTTTCCTCGGCTCTCCTTCCAGGAGTCCTTTCTCTGGTGCTGCATGTTGTTTCTGCTGCTCCTCCAGTTCAGGTGTTATCTATCCTGGCTCTCTGCCACCGTTTCTCTGGTCAGTGCCGGCTGCTGCTCTGCGCCCATGGAGAAAAACATCTCCCGGCATAACTACAGGCACCTAGCCCAGCTTTATGCTGTTCCAGGTCCCTGCAGCCCCCAGCCAGGGGCTGGGAGGCCCCAGAGGGCCCAAGGGGCTCAGAGCCCCTTCCTCGTGGCTCTACAACATGGCCACCTCTCTTCAACAACCCAACTACAACTCTTCTCTTCCGGCGAGGTTGGAGAACGGTGGTCCCTGTCTGAGCCTGGCTTATCCAGAGCTGAGGCCTACAGTAACTGCTGTTATCGACCACGTGTGAGGGGGGAGTGCTGGGCCGTGTCCAGACGTACTGCTTTCTTTCAAGGGAAGTGGTGAGCTCTTGCCAATCCTTCAGCTTTGCTGGGTTTTTAGATTGTGTAGATCTGTTTTATTATTTGTCCCTTTTCACCCTATTTTATCCTTTTCCCTTCTCCCTTCCCCCCTCCTCCCTTCGACTTCGGGAAGCTATTTGGGGTCATAGATTTATATATATAATTCTCATTGTATATCTCTGTTTTATACATAATATATATATATATATTTTGGCTAGAACTTTGGCTGCCTGGTCTTTCGTTTTTTTTTCCTTCCCTCTCTGGGAAGGAGACCCTGTTGTCGAGTTTCGGAGATTTGGCAGGAAGCCAACTCCAAACTTGCACAACATATCATTTTAGAAGCTTTATACCTGAAGGTATACTTGAGGTATTTTAAATAATTTTATTTAATTGCTGATTTAAGCTAAAAAAAATCATTGTATATTTGGGATGTTTATTTATGGGTATGTTACACTTCTCATTCTGTGCATGCATCGTACATGTCCATGGGTTCATAAAGTAGCTTATATATTTCCTGAAATTTTACTCTTATCTTTGAAGTCATGCTTCACAATTAGAAATGTTAAAATGCAGTTCAATGCTGAAGTGTTTCTGTAGATTTATTTCCCAGCTGGCTATTTATTCATGTTCCCTGTCATTCAGGAATCCGACACTGAGAGAGAAAAGGATCTGTTGTACAAAAATCAGTTACTGCAAGAGGAGATTGCTGTGCTAAGACTAGAACTTGATCAAATAAGACTTAGGCACCAGGAGGAAGAAGGAAAATATTTAGAGGAAAATGAGACCTTGAAAGAAAAAAATGAAGATCTCAAAAAGGAACTTAAACTGAATGAAGAAGCCTTAACGCAAACAGTTTTTCAGTACAATGGACAGCTGAACTTACTAAAGACAGAATCTGCAATGCTAACTTCCAAACTTGAGCAAACAAAAGAAAGTAAAGACAGACTAGAGACAGAAATTGAATCATTTCGTTCCCGCCTGAACACTACTGTTCAAGAACTCGAACGTCATCAGTCATCCAAAAGTGATGTCGAGCGCACGTTTCAGAGAGAACGAGATGAATGGCTTCGCTTGCAAGACAAGCTGCATCATGACCTCTCTGATGTGCGAGAAACCAACAAGAGCTTGTCTCAGCAGCTGAGTAAAGCTGAAAGCAAAGCTAATGGTCTAGAAAATGAACTGCACCAGTTGAAACAAATGCTCAGAGAAAAAATATTGCTTTTAGAAATGACACAAAAAGAATTAAGTCAAGCCCAGTGTCAGGCAAAGGAATACGATCATGCTCGACAAGTTGAGAAAGATCAAGTAAGCAAACTTACAATAAAGCAGGAATCCATGCAGGAGCGATTGGCCCAGCTCCAGAGTGAAAACCTTTTGCTCCGTCAGCAACTGGAAGATGTGCAGAACAAGGGAATCATCAAAGAAAAAGTAGTGAATGATGTACAGGATCGGTTTAATGATATTTTCAACAAACTCAGAGCTGATACTGAAAAGCAAGTTTACCTGGTGGAAGAAAGAAACAAGGAATTAAATGCCAAGTGTACCGATTTAAGAGAACAAGTCTTCAAGTATGAGACTGACAAAATAGAGAGAGAGGTAAAATCGAGGCTTGAAAAGAACAAGTTTGTCAGTTCTTGAAATTAATTTGTGTTTCTAAAGTGTACCAGGTATAAGCTATATGCGTGGGTCCAGATAATGCTGATTTGTTCCAGTTTGTTGTGTTTCTCTTGAAATTGTGGAAGGTTTTGGCAAATGGGATCTGAGCAGAAAACAGAAAAAAGGTATCCAAATCTAAGCTTTGATCAAAAAAGGTGATTTTTCTCTAGAAATTTTTCATCTTTTCCTTAATCCATTTTTTGTCCTATAGAATGGTTTTATATATTTGATGGGTTTTATAAGGATTGCACTGATGACACAAATAAGAGTGGTATAAAAGGAAGAACCATCCAATATATGAGAGTTGAGAAATGAAGATGCAGATAAGTGAACTGATATGGAATCGATTTATATTAAGTTCAGAGGAAAAAACCTCTTCTACGCAAATTGCTGTCAAAATTGAAGAGTATTATAGTGTTCAGGTGTTAATTTATGTATGTTCTGAGGGTTCATACCTTTGAGTTCAATCCAAAGACAGGTTCAATTGAGTTATCAACTAAGTCATAATATTTTTCATGTTCTTACCACTTTATTCATACTCATTTAACTGTTTCATTAGGGCATGATCAGACAGCTGCAGCAGGAGCTTGCTGATGCTCTTAAAAAGCAGTCTATGTCAGAAGCTTCACTTGAAGTTACTACACGCTACCGCAGTGACCTGGAGGAAGACAAGCTGCGCTTGCAGAAGGAATTGGAAAAGGTTAAAACCAAGGTACACAATGTCTGTAATTATATTAATAAATCTGAGGGTGGCTATTGAAAGTAGGAGTGGATGTTTTCCTAAAAATCTAGGAAAAAAATCAACAGGATAGATTTCATGATGTGTGATTCAATTGCACTGTTCTATAAACTTGGTGTCCATGTCTTTGACATGAGGACATTATGTCCTTACTTGAACGGAAATTTGTATTTGCTAAGGTGCTTTGCACAATAAATTGATGTGTTTATAGCTTATAGTCACTATAGGAGAAGAATGAACTTTTTAATTCATATTTTCACAGAGGAGCAATCAAGAGGGCACAAAGAGCATCCTAAGTCACTGAAAGAGTCAGAGGCACAGTGTCAGTGCTTAGAGCCGTGCTGTAGGAAAGCAGTGGAGGGATGGGAGAGGCTGCTGTAAAAGAGGACTTGTGTTCATTGGGTAGTAGAAGTGAAGCTTTGAAGGTACTTGAATTCATTCCAGTTCTTTGAGCAGAGGATATGCACACATACATGCAGCACTTGAGTTCTTCAGCAGCAGCTGGCTCCTCTATGTAAAAGCTCCCCTGAAAACTGTGGATTCTTACCGTGATTTTACAGCTGCAGGAGGAGGAAGAAAAGCATCTTCAGTCTGAGCATTGCATTCGTGACTTGAAGACTGCCTTGGATGATAAGGAAAGAGAAGCAATAACTTCTTCCCAGAAACTGCAGGACCTCCTGTTGGCATCTTCCGAGACTAATACCACTCTAAAACAACTGGAAGAACACGTGCAACAGTAAGAGAGTAACCCAGTGAAGCGAGGTGTCTATGACTTTGGGGGATTGGGTGGAAACAACAGGATAGATAGCCTTGTTGCATCATTGTTGCTCTGGTGGATTTTCATAGTAAGACCTGTATTTGTTTTTAAGCCTTGAAATTGAAAACACCAGATTGGAAGCCACTGTCCAGCAACAAAGCAATAGGATTGAAGCCCTTCAGAGAGACCTGCAAGCCTCTGCCTCAGTAAGCTGGTCATAAATTTCCCTTTTTGTGACTCTTGAGCCTAGTTACCTATCTCTGTGGGGAAACTTTAAGATGAAGTTTTGGTGGAGAGCCTAGGGGAACTTATATGCTGCATTCTCCTGAATAGAAGTTGCTTGGAAAGCAGCCTGTGCCACTCCCCAGCTTCCTGGTTTTGTGTTTTCACATGAGACTATAGCAAGTCAAACTTAACACTCCAAAAGATAAGGATTTGCAAGTAATACACTGGTGTAACTATTGTCCGCTTTATACGTATCATACATCAGATGCTGCTTCAGTTACTTGTTGCAGTGTGTTTCATTTAAAGTATTCATCAAGTTGTGGAAATTCCGCAGGGTATATTGATGCCAAGGCCTTTGTGTCAGAGGCCTGGCTGGCATCATAAAACTGGAACAAAAATTATACTTCCCAGAGCTTTTTCTGTGCAGAATTGCTTTTCCTTTGGTCACTTGCTGCATGTGTGTTTTCATGAAACAGTGAAGAGGAATTCCTGTGGTACTTGCAGAACTGAGTGTGAGCCCTGGAATTTCCCACTGCTTCTACACAGTTGTTAATTTTAGGTCTGATAAAGTGCTTACATCTGTGGCCTGTATGAAGCGATTTTTTTTTCGTATTGTAACCAGTGAACTAGGGTTCTGGTTACAGCTGTAGTTGTCAATTAGAGCTGAAGAATTTTTGAGAAACACTACATGTGAAAGTTGAACTTTCTGATGTACTGATACTGTCAAGAGAAGTAGAAAGGCATTTACAATACTCATTGTTCCCCTTTAGTTAATAGGACATGATTTTCAAGTGTACGGGGCGATGAGAAAAGCTACTCCTGCCCATTTTCACTGAAGATCCTTAATATCCACCATGGTCTTGTCTCTCTCTCCCTGCTACAAATGGCAGAGGTGATGATTGCTAACAGTATGACAGTGGCATCAAACTAAGGCCATTTTGATCATTGGTGCTGAGTGTAAATAGTATAGGAATAAAGAAGTGAAGAGGTTTATGTGGTATTTATTTTTGGTAGTAAGGTGTAAACTTCAATCTAGAAAGTCATAGTGTGGCTTCTTCCTTCCTGTAATGCTTCTGTAGGTTCACAACCGCCTGGAAGACTTGATAACTAGCTTACGGACATCGCAGGCAGCTGCAGAGGACCACCACAAGCAGGTAGATGACTTGCTTCTGTGAATGACTGTTCTGGTCTTTGAATTTTTATGTGTAGGTAATTGATGAAAAGATTGGGTGGGCTGTGTAGGCACACAACTGTCAAATATCTGTCTGGTTTTAGGGCAAGGCACTGTCAAGGGAGAAGGCTGTAAATTTCCTTGTTTCCCTGCTGCTGTGTTTTGCATCTGTGTTGCCGTGTGCAAGATACTTGTGTTCATCAGCGTGATTCATCTGATGAATTCTCTTCCCCATCCCACCTGCAGGGAGTGAGCAAGTGGCTGTATGATGCTTAGCTATCTACTAGGGCTAAACCATAGGAGATGATGGCGATGGTGGATGTTGTGGACAATGGGGAGATCTATGGCTGAAAGCTGAGAGAGGAGACTGGAGTTGGGAGATGCACATTATCTTTGCAACTTTGTTAGAGCCTTGAGGCCATGTTAGTTTCTGTCACAAGACCCAGTGTTTCACCTTGTCTGTAAGGACACTTGAGAAAGTCATACATCCTAACAATTATTTTATCTAAGACTTTGTGCTGAGGTTTTTGTGACTTTGTGTAGCCAGCAGACATCTCTTGGTTTCTTCTTTTTTTCTTTTTTTTTTCCTTAAAAAATGCCACTGAAGGCATCTTCTCATCTTCTGGTCTTTATACTTTAACTGAATCACCAAGTTCTGTTCCACTCAAATGTATCTGTTAGGCAAATCTTTGTCCCTTTAGGCAGAACCAAAAATAACCTTAAAAACATTTTCTTGCTCTCAGGAGATGTGCAGCTGTTACAGAAGCCATGAGAATAGGGTATTTTCTGTGGTGAGCACCAGAGATAGTGGGCACATATTAGAAAGTATGTGGCATGAACTCTGGAGAACCCTTGGAAGAAAGTTGCAGGGTGATTTTGTGTGTGTGTGCATGTCTTGTTATTCCCTAAAGATGAAACCTTGTCTTGTCACTCCTAGAGCATTCATTCTTTCTATCAGTTTCAGTTTCTCAGTTATGTTTCCTGAGCTGTGTTTTACACTCCACGTTAAGCTTAACCATAGACCTTGCAGAGCTTAGGCCAGTTTCCATTTAAGTTACTGCTTTCTATTGCACTGTTTTCTTTCCAGTCACCTTAGTTTCTTCTTCTGCCACTGTTACTTTTACAGGTGGAAAAGCAGAATGCGCTGGCTCTGACATCAAAGGATTTGCAGAGCATGTGGGAAGAGCAGTTTAAGTCAAGATCCAACCTCGAGGAGCGTGTTGCTCAGCTTGACAGGGAAAAGGCAGAGCTCTTTGAACAGGTAAGCCCAGAAAATTCTCTAGAGACCTAGCCAGTACCTGGGAGAAGCATGTTAATCCTTCTGTTGAGTTCTTACATAAACAGCTTTTTTTATTATCCCTGCCATTCATGCTCTGAGTATCTTGTGATTTCGGGATCATCCAGGTAACTGTGTATTTTTGTGTAAATTCTGGAGTGGTTCTGTTGGAAGAGTTCCCAGTATGGTTTGCTATTAGTTGAGCACATCAAGTAGGGCTGCAATTCTCCAGTGTTTCTTGGATTCCTTCTGGTCGTCTTCAGACCCCTTGGTTTCTGGGCAACGTTGAAGTGCTTCATTTTTCCAGTGCAGTCCATGGAGGAACAGCAGCATGTTTTCAGGCTAGTGGATGCTTAAAAGCCTTGCAGAAAAACATACTGAAGGAATTCTAGGCAAATGAACTAGTGCTTGGGAAAAAGAAAGGCTGACAGTTTCAAAGGTGTGCAGTCTTTCCCTTTTCTCCTTTTCTGTAGAGGAATAATGGAAGTACAAAGCAACAAGTACATAAGTAAATACGCACAAAGTAGAGATGGAGGTAACAGCGGAGGGAAATAAAACACTAAAGAATTCCAAGAGATCAAATTCCTCTGTTTCCTGGTCATTAAAGATCACATGAAAGCCTTAGATTTATCTGTATTCTCCCATGATGAGCATACCTACATAATCCCTACTATGAGTAGAGAACTGCCCAAAGTATTCTGTAGCATCTTTTCCACATTTTTTGCTTGAAAGAGAAGGCGACCTCTGCTTCAGTGAAGGCATTTGTTTTTGTTGTTCAGTATCGGCCTGTTTGATGTGAAACCTAAAGTGCTTAACTGTTCTCAGGAATTCTGTCCCTTGGCACTCTGTGGAACTTGGCTAAGACGCAGATGTACTGCAGCCTCTCTGTGGAGAGTGCTAAAGGCACGTATTGCTCCTCAATATTGCTTTTAGCTCTGTGTGCATCATGTATCTTTTCTATTTTGAAAGTGTGAGAGTGAAAGAAAGAAAGTGAAGAAACTGGTCGAATTGAAACGCCCAGTTGAAATGCGCCTGGACCAAGAAATGAAAAGAAACTTAGAACTGCAGAAAGACTTCAAGAGGTATGGATTTTTGAAATGGTGAAGAGGTATCCTGGAGTAGAAATCCAGTTTTATTGAACTTTAATGTAAAAATAGGTGTTCGTAACTCTGTGGGCAAATTCAAGCCTTGTGTTAGTTCCTGCAAGGCACTTCTTTGTATGAGCCTATAGTTTTCTATACTTGCCAGAGGAATTACCAATGCAGGTTGCCCTGGAGTTCTCCTGGGGAGAAGGAGATCTTTTATTGATCTTTTCAGCTGAACTTTGGATGCTTTAGGTAATTTATGAGGAATAATGTTTTTTCTCAGCAATTCCTGGTGGTGTCAAGCATGTTAAAGATGAAGAAAGCCATGTCTACACTGATTACACGAGAGTATATGGAAAAGGCTCCTGTGTTTCATGGTTTCCTTAACTAATTTGCTGTGCAGGTTGAAGAGACTTCTGAGTAGAGCTACGAAGAAACTAAGGGTGTATGAAGAAAGAGAAATTGAGTCCCAGCTTAACTTGCAGGGAGAAATGAAGAACAGATATTCTGAAATGGTCAGTGAAGTTGGTAGATTAAGACCAAAGGTGAGCTCTACATAGTTTGTTTTTTTTTTTTTTGATTGTGGTGTTATTTCTTTTGAAACCTGGGAGATGCTTTCCGTACATTTATTGTCATGTCGATAATTTTTATTTTCCTTGGCTGTATTTTGGATGTGATGGGCTTTTCTTAATGCTCCTTCTGCTGTTACAGTAGTAGATGACTATAACTAATACGGAGGTAGTTATCATTATGGGTAAAGATGCAACTGTAAGGGCAAAGCAGTAGGTGTAAGGGCTCATGGAGGCCAGGCTGTCTTGCAGAGGAAGGGCAAGCCAAGAGTGGCAGCCAGCCTGGCAGGGTGCATGACCTCAGCGGCCAGGGAGCCCTCCCACAGGCCCTCAGCAAGAAGAGCAGAACAGGTACACTTGATTTTTCTCAACAGTGTTGTTGCTGCCCAGGGCACAATGAGGACAGGTGCCTCCCAGGGGAAAATCTGTAACTTATTGCTCACGGGTAGCTCTTTCAGCCCCTCTTGTCACAGGGACTCAGAAGGACTGTTCCCAGCAGTGGTTTTGAGGCTGCTCTGCCTGTGCAGTAGTGGCATGGAACCTTTGATTTCCTTCTCCGCTCCTTACTCAGATTCGTTGCTAAAGTGGCCATCTTTCACAGCTACACTTGGGTTTGGAAGGCATCACTGTAGAATCACTTACTGCCTTTGCAGTGATTCCTTTGGAGTCCGGAAGAGCTGAGAAAGGATGGGAACCTGAGGAATGCTGAGACAAATGAGGTGAAAGCTCTTCTTGCTGGAAAAGAAGAGCCTGGTTGCACTTAGTTTCTAGTACTGAGCCAGCCCCGTTAGAGATTTTCATAGAATTCACTGCCTTTAGATCACTCTTAAGTTTCTTTTTTTTTTTTTCTTCTTCTGTGGACAGGTTGGTGAACTTTCCCAGCAGCTGGACAGGGAATCTAAAAAATGCATGCAGCTGGAAGCCAAAAATCAGGATTTGCAAGAAGAGCTATCCACCCTGCGTGGGAAGTGTGAAAACCTGGAGAAGAGCAAATGCCAGCTGCAAGAAGAGCTGGCAAAACTCCAACATCATTCGGAGACTAACCTGGTAGATCGCAGCCAAATAGAACAACATAAAAGGGAGGTGGAAGAACGAGCTGGACAAGAAATAAGACAAAAACTACAAGAAGTCAATCTGTTTTTGCAAGTAAGTGAATTTCTCACAAGTGTCCGTAGGCGCTATGTAGACTGTTTTTATGGTCATCAGTTATTAGTGGTTTTCTTTTTGTGCCTTTTTCTGTGTGTTAGTGCTGTACTTCTGCCTTTCCTGAAGGCAGTGGGAGAAGGCAATATGGTTGGGCAGGAGGGCTGTCATGAGTGTGTGTGATGTGCCAGCAGGTCCCTGAATCAAAAGCCTGCCCCAGGCAGATTCCCACTTTGCAGTGCTTGGGGGTATCTCTGTCCGCTGGCCTGGTTCTCGCTGCTCATCCTTCAATGGGTTTTGCAACTGCCAGCTGTCATGGCCAGACCTACAGGTGCTGCTTTGTCCTTGTAGGGGAGGAAGGTGCTCAGAAAAGGAGTTACTGAAGTTGTGGAGGTGGGAGATCCTCCTGTTGTCTTTGAGGAATCGTTTCCATATGCCCTGTCCTACAGAGAGGGTGTCCTTTCATTAGTAGCTTTGTATAATAGTAGCTCCAGGGTTCTGCTTTCATTGCTGCTGGTAGTGAGGAGGCACAACTGCCTCGCTTCGTAAAGCCTTGAAATTGGGTACATGCAATTTTCTGCTGGAGAGAGTTCTCTTTTTCTTGTGGTGATTGTGTGTCCTTCAGGCACAGGCAGCTTCCCAGGACAGATTAGAACAAATCAGAGCCAGTCATCATGCTTCACTAAGAAACCAGCTAAAAGACAGAATTAGAGATCTTGAATGTGAACTGGACAGGATAAAAAATACCCAACAAGACAGTACTTTTCAAAAAGAATCCACCCAGGCAGAAGTGGAAAAGTACAAAGAGCTCTATCTGGAGGAAGTGAAAACCAGAAAAAGCCTAGCCAAGAAACTGGAAAGGTAAGTCCATGCTTTTTTGGACTGATAATTACAGACTCCTTTTTCCTCGTGCATTTTCCTTCTAAAATCACACATCTCGCCAGCATGATGTGTGAAAGCAGAACAGGGCATATTTGTGGGGAAAGTCCCTTAAGACCCTTCCCTTCATCAGACCTGTCTTCCTTTCTCTTTAAGAGTTCCAGCAGTAACACCACAGTAGCGCCATTATGGCATTATTGGTGTCTTTTTCAAGTTGATGTTGTTCTAGCAGGCAGTCTTTTTGCCAGTCTCTAATCTCCACATCCTGTGTGGGACAGAAAAGATGAATCTTGTGCCCTTTACTGTTTGAATAAGGAGAGGCCTCTCAGAGAACAGAGTTGGATTCTGTGCATCAAAAATAAGAACGCTCTTTCTTGGCTTCTGTTTTGGCAGTGGGTCTGAGGTTTGAGCTTTCCTTGAGAAGGCCAGGATAGGCCAGCGTTCTTATGGAGGTGACACTTGCTGCTCCTTGCACTTAGTGTGATTTCTTAGAAACAGGCCCTCTGAACGAGCTCAGATCAAAGGATGTGCTTGTTTTGGATGCTCTTAATGCCCTTGGCTTTTAGAAGTCGAGTAGTAGTCAAGGACATGGAGGGTAACTTTGCAAAAGCCTTACTGCCAAAGATGACTCTCTTTGTGCTTCTAAATGTTTCAGAGCTAATGAGAGACTTGCAGAGGCCAACACCAAGCTCCTTCGAGAGCGCCATAGAAGCAAATCTTTAATCACAAGCAGCATTGTCAGCGGACATCTGGCTGCAAGTCCACTTTTGTATTCAACTGGCCTGGGACATCTTGGCAACAGTTTGGGACTGAACAGAAGTCTCAGTCTTGGAGGAAACTTCCTAAGCCCAACAGAAAACACATTATCACCAAGAAACAGAGTTGAAGCTTATGTGGCCAAGGTGAGCATTTTGAAGTGCTGTTCTTGACTACTGCTGAGGAGAATCTGTATGCAAGGTTATCCTTTTTAGCCTAAAGTTCGAATCCATTTATTGTTCCATGCCGTATTCTCTAATATGCCAGAGCAACTGCTAATCCTCAGAACTGTACACAGCTATATGTGGTAAGGCCGGAGACTTTTGGTCATCAGGTTTGTACAAATTTTCCAGAGTGGTCAAAGGCCAAAAAATATTGAAATCGAAGCAATGAGCTGTGTAACTACCTTCTTTTACAAGACAAACTGTGGTAAAGAGCACTGTGGGGCACGAACCACGCACCTAAGTTCTACACTAAATTTACATGTATGGTATGTGTGACCTATTTCAAGTGGCTAATGTCACCATGAGTGCCAAATGCCAGCAGACATCTGTGAGACACCTTTTTCTTCATTACTGATCCTTGTTCTAGCAGTTTCTTCATTGGACCTTGCTTTAATATGTTACTAAGGGTAGGAGGCATTTGTTCCTGTAGTTCCTGCTACATCTTACTACATGAAACAGCAGAACTCCCTACTCCTTGGGAAGTCTTCACGGCCTTCTAATTGTGCAGCAATGCTGCAACCTCTGCAATAGCACTGGTCCAAGTATGCCCTGTAATCAGCAGTCAGTGGGATAGCACATCCCTTCCAGAATGCAGAGCATTATACCAGGAGACGTGGAAACCACACACCAGTAGTTGTAATCAGTGGGACAGCCACGTAGCATGGGACTGAGGCATGGCCAAGCTTCTCTGTTGAGTTAGTGTGTTTAGTTGTTGGATGAATGTGAGAAGCATTTGTTCACTTTGAAGTCCATCTCAGTTCACTGGTCCCCTCACCTCCATTGGAAAGAACCCGTTTCAACAAGGTGTCTACATACAGCACCTGGTTGAAGACAAAAACACCAAGGAGATGAAAAGGGGCCAAGCAGTGTAGGTAATGCATAGCAGCGGCAGTTACAGACGGGAACTTTTCTGTACCGCTGTGAACACGTTTTTGAGGGCAGAGGCATGGACAGGCATTATGGAAAGAACTCGTGAGGTAATTAGTGTTGTACCATCTGCAGGGACTATTCTGCAGGCCAGCACTAGAAAGGAAGCACAGTTCAGGGACCCAATGCAAAAGGGAGAAAAGGAGAAGACCAGGAGGGGCAGGGAGCACGGAACAAGTGAGGGAAAGAAAGGACAGAGAGATGGCAGCAAGATGTTAAAAGAAGGAAAAGGCAGAGGAGGAAACCATTCCTGTTTGAGGAAAAAAGCTGCCCTAGTTGAAAAGAAAAGAGTTGACAGCTGTGTCTTTTTTGAAAAAGAACAGGGAAAACAGATAGTGAAGGGAAGGACAGTGGGAATACCCAGTGCTTCCTAAAACTGAATTACAGCAACAGTCTTCAGCTCGTCCTTTCCATTGTGATTTTCCAGAAGAAAACTCTGGGCATCTCAAAGTTTTGTCAGTATCAAGACAGAAACCTTCACTGCTCTCCTGGCTTCCCTGAAGGATGTTACAGAAATTAAATATTTCTACAGGTTATTTCATGGCTCATTGTTTTATCCAGTTGCTAATTTATGCAGATGTGTAGTTCAAATCGCTATATAGGCTGGTTCAACGCTTTGCAACAACTGCTTCCCAGATCTACTTGTGGAAAACAGTTGAGTTGATTCCAAGAAAAGAATGCACTAGATCTGAGAATGGTGATGCTGTTCCAACTCAGCGTCCTGACTGCAACAGCACCCATACAGTTTCTTTTCAGGCCACATGTGTCTCACAGCCTTGAGCGTACTCTCAGGGAAGTTGATGTACAACTACGTATGACACTTCCCCAGCCTTCAATGACTGATATCTGGAGGGGTTTTGTTTCTTAGTTTGGGGGCTTGCTTCAATCCCAACCTGACCTTCTCTTTCTGGGTCAAAAACAGAACGAACTGTTAGTGGTCCATGTACCAGAATGTAAGTCTGTACTGTGGCCTTAGTCCATAGCCCAAGGCAAGGAATGCGTGTTGCAAGAAGATTTTTGGACTGGAGGCCTGTTGTTACATTTAAGAACCATCAAGCTTAAATCCTAACTGCTGTGCCAAAGGCTGGGGAAAATGAATGTGGTTGTCATGACACAGAGAAGAATAGTGAACTCTGCTGGCTGCAGCCAGTGTGAATTGGTGGATTGATGAAACCAGTTTCCCTACATAAGATGAGAAAGGGAATGTCTGCTTCCTGTTCTCTCTCTCAATTTCTTTTCTTTTTCTAGTTCCATTTTCCACCTGCCCTCTTGTAATTGCTAGCTTTTTTTGCTTGCCTTGTGTACGTGTAGGCCATGTTTCTTATTTCCCACTGAAGACCTTTGAACTTCAGGCTGGTTTTCTTTCTTTTTCAGCTCCTTAATCAAAATCTTTTTTTTCTCTTTGCAGCCAGATACGTGACAAGGTTTGTAGCCAGTACTGTTTAACCTTGGGTTGTACTGGAAATATTTTGTCTATTTATGCTGTGAGGTTCTGATTAAAACTTACTGATGCATTCACCTTTGCCTAAAGCTGGAAACAGTTTGCACTTGTTAGTTTGAGAGAGAGAGTGACTGCTGCTGAGTACTTTTGTGGTTTCTGCGTTTGTAATGTTATGGCCTCTGTGGTACTTCACCCTCCGTAAGATGACACTGGATGCTTGGATTTCATCTATTATAATGGAACTTCTTTAAACTAGAAGAGTAGGCTCTTTACCCTCCTTGCCTGTTCTGCTATTTAGAAAGTTCTGGATAGTACCAGCAGTTATATCTGGAGTACCAGTACTGCTCTGAAGTTGAGTTCCTAGACTCTGAGTATCATCTCATGGAGTCTTACAGGATCCAACTTACTCTGTGCTCAAGAAGCTCCTGTGGGTAAGTAGTAAGTCGGCACCGCTTCCTGAAGCAGAATTACTGAGATGGTGACTGCTGCAAGGGAACCCAGTATGGTACTGCCTGAAGAGCTGTGCAGTGAGAAGTGCCTGCTCAGGAGGTTTGGGCTCATCAGCTGTGATGCCTTCTCCAGAGGAGCGGGAGAACAGTGGAGACACATTATAGTCCTCAAAGGTGTATTTTCATTCAAAGGCCTCTTCATTCCCTTTTCAGAAGTCCATGTTGGCTTTACTTCCACCCATTTCTCTTTCCTCAGGTGGGGATGAGAAGTACAGAAAGGTTAATCGAATATATAAGAGTCAAAGAAGAGCTTTTTCTTCTCTTGATTCATCCACACATGTTGCGGAGGGTCCTGTGGAGCTTCTGGTCATTCTGAGGGCTTCATAAACCAGGGAAAGTGGTTTCTTCTAACTCCTCCAGTACTGCTGCTTTACTTTGGATTAGTCCTGGTTTAGGTCATCTTTTGGTCTAGGCATTAGTTTTCCTGCTTTTTTCTGTTACCTATGTCTCATTTCATGTGCTGGGGGGGAGTGCCTTTTATCCAGGATTTTGCTGTTGCTTGAGAAAAATTAGAGGTTTGGGGATTTGGGGGGGGAGGACCTTTTCCATTGTTCTTTCAACTCTGTGCTCCCCTCTTCTATCTGCAAAGGCAAAGGCTATTCCAATGAAGTACCACTGGGTGGTGGTTCTCCTGTAGGAGAACCAAATGAACAACAACAAAAAAATCCTTGTGTTAAAATGAAAGTTCCTCTATTTTGATTTTTCCCATCCCTCTTCTTCTGTTACTTGGCATCACCAAGGAGATTTTCGCTCCAATTTCTTTACTCCCCCCACCAGGTCATTAGTATGCCCAGAGAACGTCCCCCCGAACTTTCTCCACTCCAGTAAAGAAACAGTCACAGCTCTCTCAGCCTCTCAACATAGCTCATGTGGTCGACAGCCTTCAGCATCTTCATGGCCATCATAGGCCTGGAAGCTGCTTGGTATCTATTTTGGAATTCACTTCTGTGTGTCACAGACTTGACAGAAACAATGAAGGAGTCACAAGTATCATCAAATGTGAACGGCAGCATAGAGCGCCTGGTCTATGACTCTTCAAAGATCTGATTTCTTCTTAGGAAGACTTTGAAATCAGAATGATTAGTGAGAATAACTTAGTTATCCCCCAGAATAACCACCTTCTAGGGGAGACAGGATTAAGTGCTCCTGTCTAGTGATCTGGGCTGACTTTCATTGTGTAATAAAACCTGCTTGCTATGAGGAAGCTCTAGCTGTTGGGTTTTTTTCTTAGTACAGATTTTGCAAGAAAAACTGGTGTCTCTATATTTTTATATATGGGTGTCATGGTATTTGCAGTAACAATAAAGAAAAGTCTTGGCCTGACCTGCAGGAGCTCTTTCCATTTTTCATCTTAAGATGAAGAAAAGAAGAATACTGGCACATGCTTTTTCCTATACAATGATATACGTCGACCCTGCAGCAGCTGCTGTTGCACCTCTTCCCTTTGGAAGCTGCAGAAGCCAGCATCAACTGAAATGCTCCCTGTGGATGGCATTGTGCATATCTCAACATTTAGCTGACGGTCTGCACGTGTATTGGATGATCAACTTTAGCTATATCCTCATTGCAATAACTCCACTGTGCTTTCTTGATATTTTTCAGTTGCCCAGTTATAACCCAGCTAGTGAGTTACAGCTTGTTTTGCACTACTATTACCATTCATGGCTCAGCAATGAGAATGCTACAGCCTTGCTGACTAAGAGTTTCTCTTCACTAGAAATCAACCCCCCAACCAAGATGTCTCTATTTGGAATTATATTATTGTGAAATGATATTATTGTGACATTATCTGTGGAGGTTAAGAATGTTTTAGGAGTTTTAACAGTCATATTTAGGTAACAGTACCAAAACTCTGTATTAACTGTAAATCTTAACTCTGTATGTTCTGTTTAATTCTAGGTACGACAGGAACTGGATGAAAAAATCACTAGAGACCTTCAACAAGGTAATCTGTCATTATGTTAGGAGGGTTTTTAAGGAAAAAGGTGACTATTTCTAACTCTTGACAGCTCTTGAGCCATTTTTTTGAAGTTCCTGTGATAAGCAGAGGGCTTTTTTCTGCTAGCCTTCCAGTTGAGACTTGAATGTGAAAACTTCCTGCTTACCAAAGTGTTGCGTACAATGTTATGCACTTGCCTGGAAAAAGCCAAGCGCAAAGAAACCCTTGGCTTAAGCTGAAGTTGCCCTTCACTGGAGTTCATCTCAAGCACAAACAGCAAAGCAGCCACGAGATAAGATTTTTATAAGCTTCAGCCATCACTTCCCCTCCCATGTACACTGATGGCATTCAGCACTAAACCCCACCATACCCGTTCTTTGTTGTTGGTTCCTGATTTTTGCTATGATTCTGTGATTCATGGCTTGCCTTGGTAGCTTAGGTGGTGCAGTCTTTTTTGGAATAAGCAAGAAGATCAGTTTCAAAAGATAATCTGTCTTTAGGAAAAGATTATTCAGTATTTTTTTGGCAAATATCAGTTCAGTGCTTGCCGTACGTAGCATAAAACATGCTGTAGAATTTGAGGCCAGGTGTCCAAAGAGGAAATGCACCTGTTCCATGGGAATTCCTTCCTCCAGAGTTACGTCTTTGCAGTGCCTGGTGCTCTGTAGTAGTAGTAGTGTGCCAATAAATCACTGGTTTGGACATAAAAGGAAAGCAGAGACTTCGGGTTGAAGAGGTCTACAGGGGGCTGTTTAGCACAGGAGTCATTTGTGGATTGCCTGAAGGTGTTCAGTGTGTAGCCCCCAGAATGTCTTCCACTTGCTTTAGAAATGCTGCTGACGGATAAGCAACTGTGGAAAAATGGGTTTCTTCCTTTGCACCTAGCCCTTCTGTTGTTATGTTCCCTTGGAAATTTTAAAGTCTCTGTCTGGATTGCAGTCTCTCGTGTTGCCTGTCATGTCCTTGCCTTATTTTGCCCTGTCTGCTATAAAAGTAATACCAGGAATCTTGTGTCTTTTCTCTCCAGCTACTGCTGAACTTGAAAGGGGATCTGCTGGATCTTCAAAAAATCTTCATGTGGACCAGGATCCCCTTTGCAAAGCAATAGAGGAGTACCGTGATGTTTTAACCAAAAATTACCTGATTTGAACGAAATGCTATGAAAGGCTCTGGAAATCATTTGGTTTTCATAGTGCATCTGTGGTTTCACCCATCCCTCAGTTCAGATGTGAAAACATGTTTCTTGCAGTTGGAATATAAACTCATAAACTCTATTAAATGGATATCAAGCACATTGCACTTACCTGTTGGTTTATTGATGCATAGGTGGTTTCTTTTGCACTCACAATAAGAACCACATCCATTTTTTTCTGCCTAGCAGATTGACTGATCTTGACTCTTGAGGTTGACAAAATCATCAAATTTATTTCTTATTATGGTCAATGCATTTGCTTTGTTCTGTTAAATCATTTTAGTCAATGTGTTTGGAATGTTTCCAGTGTTATTTTAATGTTTAGGACATTATTTGATGTGCTTTCACCCTGCTGCTTCAGTCCTGATGCAGTGACTGTTTCTGCTGATAAAGTTTTACAGGTGTTCAAGCTGTAGAAAAGGGCACTTTACATTGTCATCACTTTATGCGATGTAGGTTTAAAATGACCGAGTATGTAGTAGTACTAAGAGTTGTTATATGGTCTTTTTGGTTTGTTTGTTTTGTATCACAGAATGGGTGAGTTTGGACGGAACCTCTGGAGGTCATCAGGTCCAGCCCCCCTGCTGAAGGAGGACCACCTAGAGGCAGTTGCCCACATCTGAGTTGGCTTTTGAATACCTCCAAGGAGGGAGACTCCAGAGGCTCCATGGGCAGCCTGTGATAAAGCTCAGTGACACACACAGTACACTTGAATACCATGACAGGCAATGGGCACAAACTCAGTACCTTTTCACAGTATTGGTGTTGATTTCTGTATTAAAAATTGCTGCAGTTTCAGACATTTGCAGCTCTTGCATCAAAGCCTATGGTGCACCCGAAACATTTCTAATCGGAGGGAAAAAAATGAATGTTAGTGCATCAACTTTAAGTTTCCTCAGTACTCTCCAGAACTTCTGTGATAGGATAGGCAGTCTTTTTGTTGCTGCTAACAGCTGATGATATGGTGTCTGTAGCCCAGCTGTTAGCCCAGATGTGGTGGGACATTGTGTCAACCTTACAAGCAGCTTTACTTATTTCAGGGAACTACCAGTTGTTAATGAAGATCTGAGTTGTCATTTCCCATCCTGAAAAGTCACCAGCAATCTGAAGAGTATAGAACAAAGTCCCAGTTCTGGAAAAGATGTATGTAAGAATGATTGTACTGAGATGAAGAAGACTGGAAAAATTTGGGGGAGTTTACTGACTAATTCAAGGATTTAACAGTCAGCGAGGAAAGCATTAAATGCTGCTGTGACATTCTTCCTTTTTATATGAATACATTTTTGTGAAGCTAATACACTGTGTATAATTCAACTTGATATTTAATAAACTTTGCAATCCAGGACATGCCTTTTGTTTTATTGTTCCCCTTCTTGACATTGCTTTACACCCCTTCTCTGCCCATAGAACTCTCCAGAGCTCTCCTCTGCTCCCTTCAGCTCTGCTCACAGCTGCATCTTCAGCCTGTCCCAGAGGCCAGACAAACGTGTCCCCTTCCTCTGTGAAGGCTTGAAGCACAGTCGTGTTAAGATCATGGCCTACAGGTGAGCTATTGCTACTAATCAGCTGCCAGACTCTTCCAGTGCTTTAGAGCCATCCTCTTTGTGTTCTCCCCTCTGGGGAGAAGGTAGTGGGTGAGCTTCTGGTAGCCATAAAACACAGGCAAATCCCTGTTTGTAGCCCTCAAAGATAAAAGGAAATTTCTTCAGCCTGCTTGCGGTGCATTGTAGCGTCTCTCCCCTGAGAAAGCTGGTGCAGAACCTCTGGGCCTTCACTTTGTGTTGTCATTTGGACAAACTGGGACAAGATGTGTTTGAAAGTTTCTTCCTGCCTGCTGTGTGCTGCCCATTGGCTGCTGGAGCAGCAGAGCAGAAATTCACTGTTGGCATCTGGCAAAGCAGCAGGTGACAGCAGTTACGAGGGGGTGGGGGGGAGAGGCTAAAGAGAAATCCAGTCCATTCCTTCACTTGAAAGTCCATCTCCAGTGTCGCAGTGAGGACACTTGATGATCTCAGAGAAGCCAGGGCAGTCAGGGAAGCCTCCTGAGGCCTGGAAGCCAGGAAATACCTGTCTGGTCTTCAAGAAGGGCAAGACAGAGGAGCTGGGGAACTACAGGCCAGTCAGCCTCATCTCACTGCCTGGGAAGCTGATGGAGCACATTCTCCTGGAAGTATTTCTGAAGATGTTAGGGACAAAATGGTGATGGGGAGGAGTTGGCAGGGGTTTGTAAAGGGGAAAATGCCAATCTGGTAGCCTTCTACCATTATGTGAGTAATTCCATGGACAGAGGGAGAGTGGTGCGTGTTTCTTTCCTTTAGCACAGCTTTCTCTGGCTTGCACCACAACAGTCAAGTTTAGGTTTTGGGACTTCCTGATCTCTTTCCAAAGAAAAAGCAACCATGTCTCCTAATTTCTTTTCTTGCTAAGGTATGTTAGAAACTCAGGTTAGTATTGTGGGTGGATTACTAGATTTTGTAATTTGATTGTACAAAATATACAATTCTGTTTTAGAAAATCTAATTATACCAGTTGTTTTTTTACTCAAGAGCAAATGATGTAATAAGTAATCTGGGTTTTCCAGTCTTTAGAATGTTGCACTGAATTGCAGCTGCAAAACATGATTAGTTTTTGTTATAGCCAGAGTAGTGTCTTGAACACTTGATTAAAGGCTGTTTGAGTAGTGCTACTGCAGTCCTTGCATGTCCACCTAGTGGGCCTTGACCTCTGAAATATCCAGAGACCTGCTTATAGTTTGTTGCTGACCTCTGCAGCTCTAATTGCATCATTGATGCTTTGCAGAGGAAATATAACTGGTCTCCTGTCAGCATACTGACCAACTTTGTCCTGTTTTCATCTTCTCTTTACCTTCAAGGCACCTCTCACCACCCTTATCTGGATATAGAGGTAATAATCTAATTAATAATCTGTTAATGAAACCAAACAAGCTACAAGATCTATTTGCCCAGAAAAGCCAATAGTAAATGCTTCTTTACTGCTGGCTCTTGCTGAGCCAGCCCATCAAAAAAGGCAATTGTCCCACTCTGATCTGCATTGGTGCAGCCTCACCTTGAATATTGTGTGCAGTTTTGGGCACCACAATATAAGAAAGATATTAAGCTCTTAGAGAGTGTCCAGAGGAGGGCAGCGAACATGGTGAAGGGCCTGGAAGGGAAACTGTATGAGGAGCAGCTGAGGTAACTTGGTCTGTTCAGCCTGCAAAAGGGGAGACTGAAGAGAGACCTCACTGCAATCTTCAACATCCTCCTGAGGGGAAGCGCAGGAGCAGTGACCTATTCACACTTGTAACCAGCGACAGGATTCGAGGAAATTACACAAAGCAGAGTCAGGGGAGGGTTAGGTTGGACATCAGGAAAAGGTTTTTCACCCAGAGGGTGGTTGGGCACTGGAACAGGCTCTCCGGGGAAGTGGTCACAGCACCAAGCCTGACAGAGTTCAAGTGTCTGGACAACACTCTCAGGCACATGGTGTGATTCTTGGGGTGTCATGTGGAGGGCCAAGAGTACTTAATGTTCCTCATGGGTCCCTTCCAACTCAGTATATTCTCTGATTCTATGATTTATTGACTGCTGGACAAAGCAAACTGAAAGCCAGTGTTAACATCTAGCATAACAATAAAGGAAAGTCTGGTCAATTCATTAACTTCAAAAATGATACGTTTGGTTTTTTGTTAAGTAGTGAAAAACCTATTTTTAAAAGTGTGTGGCTGATTCTTGGTGCTCAGTGAAAACAGCTGATACCACATTACATGACAATACTTAGGGTCACTATCCTAAGCTTAAGCAGTACTTCAGCTGAGGTTACTGTAATGGCTGACCATTCTACTACTTACTAGCAGTATGAATTATTAATCATTAATTATTACTATTAACTTAATCACTGCTATAAGCACAACAAGGACAATGAATTACATAGGCAAGCATGCTTTATTCAGGATAATTTGGACCATGTATTAGTGGGGCCTTATGAGTACAGCTGTGTATTGCAAATGACAAGGACAATGTAATGGAGCTCTAGGCATCTTTGTAAACAAAAAACTGCCTCCTTCACATTTATAAACACTTATGATACCTATGTCAACAGTGCTGCCAGTCACCTTGCCGATGAATTGTTGATTGCTATAGCCTTAGTGAAAAGTCACTTTTTTATCCCCAGTTGTATTACCAAAATCCTGTACATACAACTACATTCCCTGTTTCAAGAATGAGAAGACAGTTAATATCCAACTCAAATGCTCCTCTCGAATGGCTTTTCATGAAAGAGGATCGTGCTTACAAATTTTTAGCACATCAAGGCAAAAGTAACGCAGTACAAAGCTAACAGTTCTTTCACAGCATCTACGCAGCCAGCGCAGAAATTATTTACCAAGGAATTCTGAATGATACAGGCACATTTCATCTCCCTTTTCCACGCAATTTTTAAGAGCAACCTAATCAACAACATGCCTTTGTATCTACTATTAATAAACTCAAATTGTTTTATGATGTCCTCCCTACAGTTGCAGGGCTGTATCCTGGGAATGCACCGATATTTTGAAGAAGCTGGGCTTTAAAACCTGGTTAGTTTCTTGGTATCTGCAATGGAGCTGAGCCTTCTTCCATCAAAAAAAGTACATATTTAGGGTGGGGTGATGTTTACCCATTCGTTTTGGGATGGAGAAACAGTTACTTTAAACATGGGCTGAATTTAATCTCCTCTCCAGAAATGAGTGTATTACTTTCCGACTTTATTCCTAAACAAAATCCTGCACCTGTTGTGTAGATGTTCTAGGCATTCACTCAGGAGCAAACAGATAAAAATATGTACCAGAAGTGAATGGAAAAGAGATGGCTCAGTGACTTTTGCCACTTATGTGGCAAAACTTCCTTATGTCTAGATTATCTTCACTGATAAAGCCTTTCTTGGTGCTGTAGTAGGACCTTTGTCATCTGAGAAGTTTCTTGTTTCGTTAAGTTACTGAGGCTCAGGTGGCCCATGGCAGAGTACATGGAAACTTCATTACTTTCATAAATAATGCTCAGCTGCTTTAAGGCCCAAGATGATGAAGGGCATTGCTCAGGGCACACCTGTGTTGAAGTGTGG